TAATGTTTTTTTGGGTTAGATCGCGTAAATATAAATGTGCCGTTAAACTCGCCACAGCCAATTAGTAAGCTCTGCCACGTAAACAAAATATGCAAACCGACACACCTGATGACGACCGTTTGTGTTATGGTCGAAACGTCGTGAGAATTTTTTATTGTTTTATATATATTTTATTATTTTATTGTTTCCCTTCAACGTGACTTTACCGAAAGAACTAAGAATATGAATTACTGCAGTCACGAAAGCTTTAAATCAAAATAAAAACATGCTAATTAGTGACCACTTCAGCACACCGGTGTCTTGGAAAGTAAACCCACAACATTCACAAACCTATGTAGGTATTCATATTCTTGGTTCTTTCGGTAAAGACACGTAGAATTAAAAAAATTTAGAATAAAAATAATACATTGAGCAAAAAACCCACGTTTCGATTTTTATTTAATTTTCCATCCACGCGACTTTACCGAAAGAACCAAGAATATGAATTCCTGCAGTCATGAAAGTTTTAAGACAAATTTTTCGTGTAGATATATACAAGATTACGGTTATTTATTTCTTGGGTGACGTAAGGTGCGTTGCTCTGGCCGTAAGATGCTCTCACACTCCAGGGTCTCCAGGGTCGTGCCTCGAGGTCCCGTACATCCCCATAGCCACACCTCTGCATTGGCATCACAATTAAGCCACACAAATGCTTACGAAAATAAAGATCCCGATGCACGCCTGAATCGAGATTATTGTATGTTTATTTTCTTTTAATAGAAACATTTTTATGCATAACACGGAACCGCATTCTATAAAATCGAGCCATTTGCGCACGTCCGAATTCGGGCACATTTACACAAACAAATGAAAAATCAGTGCAATTTAATGTAAACGATTTGGTAGTAATCTCAACTTCAAAGATTTGGCTCGCGATTTGTACAATGCGAGGCAGCGCGTTGACATTTACGCGCAACTATCCCCAGACAAAAAAAAACTTTCACAGCGTTATTCGGAGAGAGAGCAAAACAGACACGTGGGGGACTCCCAGATCCGGCGCACACATTGCTGACGAGCAGCGCCGGGGAGAGGGCGGGGGGGCTCACTGAGAAGGTGGCAGAACTGTGGTAGTCGTTCATTTGACGTCAATCGATTTCACTTTGACACACGGCTCTTACAGCGGTAGCCATTCGCGTTAACTGAGATAAACAATTTTATTTATCCCGCTCCCCCTCCCCCCCCCCCCCCCCTGCTGTCCCCAGGATCCCACGAATCTGCACCATTCAGGGTGGGAATTCGATTCCAGAATGGATGAATTTTCGTCTTTTTATTTATTTAACCGTCTCGGTTTGCAGTAGTTTCTCGTTTCGTCAGTACACTTTTTAATTCGCTCCCAATAACCTCCAATGTAACACTCGTATTTCATCAGCCCCCTGCGTCTTATCCTCGAGTGTGTATTCAGAAGCCTCCCTGTGACGTTTTAGTGCAATAAATCTCTGCGCGCTACAGGGATTCATTCAAATGGATCTCACGATCACGGCGCATCCAAATGAAACCGTATGTCTGACAAGCGGTCACCTTAACGTAATGCGAATGTGCGTTTAGGCCAACAGAACACACGGGACACAACCGGACAGAGTATACGGTTAAATCCAATCATGATCCCAAAAAAATAAAATCTTAATTGTGAGATGGTGGGGTAAATCTTTAGATTGCCAACAGTGAGAAGCATTCTTAATATATATTTACATATGGCATTTACCAGAGCTCCAATGTTCAGGAGTTACAGTTACGAGTTAAGTCACTGCAATAGAAGCAAAATAATAGAATGCTATGTTTGCCTGCTTGAACGGGGCTAGGTTAACTTTAACGGTAGTCGGTTAAAATCTCACGAATGTGGTGGATTTTTTTTGTTTAGACGTTTTATCCCCTTGACGGTGGAGATACAGAAAATCGCATCCATCGGAGAAATCTTGCCATGTGCTTTAACCAATTGCTCAGCCCTGCTTCTGAAATCCCTCTCTGTCATTTTCCAACCCCCTTCAAATTTGCCAGGACACGGAACCGTCCTGCAGTGCCGTACTATGCCAGGGCTGGATAACCTCTATAATAGACCACAGGTGCGAGATGTATCCACACCACTTTGAAGCGATCCACAAGTGACATGCATCCATAACTGGAAGCATCTTAGCTGCACTTCTTATCCTTTCGTATGGCTGCTGATGTAGATTCAGAGCAACAACGACAATTTCACATTCAAGGTGGGTCAAGCCAGATAACCGCTTCAGGAGCAGTGAAGTGTATAATCGCCGTGATGTCTCCTTCGTTTTTATGGATCGGGCTGCACTAATCGGGTACCAGAGGGAAATCTTTCTTTGTTCGAGCTGGCAACAACATTTGGTGGTAATTTCCACGCGCTCAACCGCTGCTGTGAAACTGAAGGGCCTCTTGCAGCGACGTAAACTCCTCCGGGTCGTGCTCGAACTTGAGTACATTTCCGAACGTGCGTGCAGTTACAAGTCATCTCATTATCATGATTATTAACATCATAAAAACGGGTGTCCCCGCGAAACGAAGGCGAGATTCCCATTTGGCCCTCGCTCGGGGAAAGGGCTTCCTCAGCCCCTGCCCGAAGTCATCGCTTTGTTACTTTTTAAACATTTCTCACTTTTACGCTTTCTGTATCGGCTTGATATATGTAAACCATCTTCTTTGGTTCTTTCGGTAAAGTCACGTAGAATGAGAATAAAATAATAAATTGATCAAATAAAATAACACAATATTCTCACGACGTTTCGGCCACAACACAAGCGGCCTTCATCAGGTGAAGGGACGAGACTCCAGCGCTGTCCTACCAGACAGTCTCGTCCCTTCACCTGATGAAGGCCGCTTGTGTTGTGGCCGAAACGTCGTGAGAATATTATTGTGTTATTTTATTTTATCAATTTATTATTTTATTCTCATTCTATGTGACTTTACCGAAAGAACCAAAGAAGATGAATCATTGCAGTCACGAAAGCTTTAAATCGAAATATGTAAACCAGTTTAACGTAGCAAAACTGCTCATTACGAATGCAGCGTGGCTGTGTAAAAAAACACACTATAAGCCATTGTGTTTTTTTATTAACGTTACGTAACGGCGACAGTTGTTAATACTCGGCAGCCAGAACCTGCGGTCTGACGCGCAGTAAAAATGTTTTATAGGAAACAAAAAAAGCACCGAACCCACTTTTTGCATAATCCTGCATCTAACATAACGTTCGCAAAGGACTCCCCAAAAGCATTCCCCATTGACTCAATTGCAGTCAATGTTCCCAGGTTTAATGATTTCCCCACAACTCACATTCACCTTGGCCAATCACCTGAAAAGCCTTTTTATCGAGGTTTTACCGAACCTTGCGTCAGCAAGTGCGTGTTGTATAGTAAGACGTATTGTGGATATCAACAACAACAATAACCGGCATTCGCCACTAAGTGGCGGTGACGTCACCACGACGCTTGTGTCACACACACTCATCGTCGTCAAGGGGCATGGTCTATCCACTGCTGGGCGAAGGCCCTCCACGTTCCGCCACCATCCCTCAAGGTCCTGCGATGCCACAGTCCATCTCTCGCCCCCGCTGCACATGGACTTCATCTCATTGCTCGATGTTGCAGTGGTCTCACATTTAGGCATAATTCACCCCTTTTGGATGCCATTGCGTCGCTGGGCTTGTCCATCGGCTATCATCCCTTCGAGTGGCACGTGCCTTGCCCAACCCCACTTGCTTTTATTAAGAGTCAGTTACGATTGCGTTTGTTTCCTGATCCGTATGCTCCTCTTCCTGTCTCTCAGTGTAATTCCCAGCACACATCTACCCCATGCTTCTCTGTGTGCTATTAATCATTTTGGTATCTTCCTTGTCCGTGTCCACCATCTTTCTAATTACATGCAGCGCCCTGGAGGATGGTTAAAATAACCCCCATGACTGAGACAGGGTGGCAGAGGCCTTCAAAATTAAACGATTTTCTATTTTACCAGCTAAGACCCACTGAGTTACTTAGCACTTTTTCAGAGGCGACCTGGCCACAAACGATAGCTCAGCTTATCATGTGGACATTTATTGCAGCCAAATACTCTAAATGCATGTGGTGGGAAAAACTGGAGGACCCGGAGAAAAATCCACGCGACCACGGGGAGAGAGACACTCGCAAACTCCAAATATACAGGTGACAGGGACCGGGATCGAACCCACGACCTCCTGTATACCAGGCGAGGCAGTTAACATCTCACCACGAGGGCACCTCTTCATCCAGCAGTGTGGATTGACAAGAGCTGTAAATATGCACACAAATGGAAACAAAATTGAACCAAAATCTTGGCTCTGGAATGGGTTTCACGCGCTGGAACTTTTGGCCCGTGAGATGCCGTTCAGTAACCCATGCACACAGGGGTCTGCGAATCTCAATCCGTGGAAAATCTCGCCATGTAACGAGACGTTTTCAACAGAGTACTGCATTGGTGAGGTCCACCCATTTACTCGGAGTATACTTCACGCTTGTAAGTCGCAGACGCGTCTGGTATTTTGGATAGGTAAGGCATAATTTTTAACATTTACTTTCTGCTTTCCAGTCGACATTTATGGCGGAAACTGTGTTCTGATGCTTTACGAATACACACTGCAGTTAATCGTATATCATGGAATATTCATGTTTTCTTATGTTCACCATACATTAATTGTGTGGTGACACCAGTCACGTCACCCGTGTGTGCATTGCTGGGGAGCCATGTCTTAGTGTGCGTATCTCGCAAAAGAATATCAATATTTGGATTGCGAGTTGGTAAAAATCGTATGATTGATAAAGCTGTCGTTTTTAAAGCTCTTTCTTAGTTTACACTCATTCTCCCTCGACTACAAATTTGCTTCTAGATTTTAAGCTTTCGTGACTGCAAGGATCCATACTCTTTGGTTCTATTCGGTAAAGTCATGTAGGTAAAAAAATAAAACAACAAAAATCACGCTACTTGTGTTGTGGCCGAAACGTCGTGATTTTTGTTGTTTTATTTTTTTTCCTACATGACTTTACCGAATAGAACCAAAGAGTACAAATTTGCTATCAGAGTCACATCACGAGGAGCTGAAATACGGATCCTGAGCCCTCATAAAAAATATCCCTGGAAGGTAACTACTACTTCCGAGGTCCATTCAATGCCCTCTTATCCACAATGGGTGGTGTTGTACCCGTCTTACACTCCCTGCTAAAGAGGTGCTTCATCTTTGGCGATCAAACTAATCGTGAATTGGACTAATGAAGTGATACGTTTATGATCATGAGCTTCTGCGCGGTCATTGTGTGACTGTAATGAGACATTCAATACGAATGAGAACCCAGTCTCATCACAGGTGGCTTGACCCCAGATTGGAGCCCCAGGACCTCAGTGGTGACAGTTCAGCTCTCTGACACTGTTATCCCCCGAAGCTACCCAAGCACCTCCTGTCAATCTGCTTTCTTTGCTGCATCTTGGATGGATATTCCTGTCCACCCATTCCCCACGGACCCCCCTCGCTCTGTCGGTACATGTCCTCATATATCTCCTCTGCGTATCCCTCGTTTTTATGAGAAAAAGTGACTTTTTTAAATAAAGTCTTATTTGGAAATTTTATAGGACAGATAAAAATGTATTTCTCTTCCAAAAAAACGTATTCTACTCACAAACATCTTCATTATCAGCCTTGGTCAACACACTGCTGGATGAAGGCCTTGCCAAACCCGCTGCCATCTCTCATTATCCTGGGATGCAACAGTCCACCAAACGCCTGCACACGAGCTGATTTTCATCGCTCCATCTCCTCCCGTCGAACGTCCTCTCGAACGCGTTCCATTTATCTGCCGCCACTTCAATCGTTATTCTTGACCATCCCCAACCATCCCTTGGAGCGACACGTTCTCCCCAAATCCCACCAAACTTTTCCCAACAGTTTGAACACCAAGAGTCGCGAATATATATAAAAAAACCACAACCGCCTCCAGGAGACGGCGAAAAAAGCCAGGCCGGACGGGCCGGCCGCCCTACCGCCCAACCGTCGGGCCGACGTTCCCCTCCGTCTGTCCCTCTTCCGTCCTCCACGGCCGCTGGGCCCGTCCGCTCCATCAGTACATGTCCTCGTAGATCTCCTGGAGGAGCGGGTGCAGGGCCATGCCGGCGTCGTCTCGGCGGATGGCTTGCACCACGTCGGCGTGCTCCGTCACCAGCTGCCGCAGATCGGCCATCTTCTGGAGGCTGCGCGCGAAGAGGCGCGGAGCGTGCGGGTGGCCCAGGCGCAGCTGCAGCGCGAACGCCTGCAGCACGTGGTCCTGCAGGTCCTCCACGCTGCGGGCATCCGACAGCCCCGGGCGGTCTAGCGGGCGCACGTCGACCACACGGAACGCGTTTCTTTAGAGCTGCTTTTTGTTGTGTTTTAGTTTGTTGTTGTCCCCCCCCCCCTACCCCGCGCGCACCTCCGATTGGCACAGTTGGCGATATACGGTGCCAAAGAAGTAAAACGTATGTACGTGCACGTGCGCACGCACGCGCATGCAGAAAGACAAAGATCCCCCTTATAGGCTGAACAAACTGTTGAGGCAAGTGCTGTTAGCGAGCACCTATGAAGGCCGGCACAGCACACGAGGGGGTGGGTGGCCAGCACCACACCCGGCCGCCTTTGTTTCCCCAGTGGCGATGTTTACACACCGCACCAGGTACTCATTTGAGGATGAGTCGACCTAGGGGAGGCCCAGAACCGGTTCAGATAATCGTCACCGGTGTTGGCCGTGAGCGGGAATCGAACTCAGGTCGCGAACTCTCTTTCAGGAGGGTCCTGCCAAATATGCACGAGTAGGGGGCGATGGCTGCTGTGCAATGATCCCAGTTTGTTGCGCAAGGTTGCATTTTATTTTGCGCGCGGTTTGCAAATTTACTCTGCTGAGTCAGTGTGAGCCACTGAGGTTGTGACGGGATTCTTATTGATTTTTTATTCCTGTTGCTCCGTGCACCCTGTACCGCTTCCCGTTCCACGCCATTTGGCACGTAAAATAAAGATCGATCGATTGAATTGAGTAATTTGCGGGCGTAATGTCTCACATTTCTAAGTGTGACGAGCCGACGCGATGGTTTTACTCTCGCAAATGACGTCGAGGGGAACTTTAAACGCCGTCCACTGTGAAGTGGACGGCGTGCCTTCAGTACGGCTAACTTGCCCGTCGTATTAAAAATCAGAAAATTCATTCATACTGGAGGAACCCAATGAGCTAGGAAGCTCTATTTCACGGATGTCCGGCAGATGTCCGGTGTTAATCAGGTGGGGTCGAACCGCGAACCTCCGTGACAACAAGCGGCGAACGCCGCTCCCCTGCCGCTGGGCCGTGTCACCTAACCGGGCGCGGCGCGAACAGATGGAATGAAGCGACGAACCAAGAATCCACCCGCACACACCGTCCCAGCCCGCGCGTCCCCTCCTCACCACCACACAGGACGATCGCGGCGACGAAGAGCGCGAGGTCGGCGTCGTCCAGGTCGAGCGTGTTGAACCGCATCGCGAACTGGAACTTGGGCTCAATGACGCCGCTGTACGGCTGCCGCAGCGACTTGAGGAACTCGCGCGTCACGAAGCTGTTGCTGTGCGCCACCAGGATGCCGTCCTTGTTCATGTAGGCCGACCACAGCGTGAACATGGCCTCGTGCACGCCGTACTTGAGCAGCGTCACCTGCAGCGGTCCGGGGGGGAGGGGGCCCGTGGTGAACGGCGGAGGTGCCACGTGCGTGCGTGCGTGCGTGCGCGCATGTGCCGGTGATTGCCCAATTTTTACTCCCAGCCACCGGAAAGGAAAATCCTTTGAAATGAATGCTAAAGTTCACCGACTTGGGGGGCCACGGTGGTGGACAGGGCGTGGTGGTTGAGCATCCTTTAATCCAGGACCTGGTTGAATGCGCTCAGGTCAAATGCCGAACCAACTTGCTGTGAAAGTAAAGTTGTTGCTCTAAGTCAACATCAGCCCTATGTTGGAAAAGAAGAAGATTAACCTACGGTGGCGAGATGGTAATTCCCTCGCCTGGTATACAGAAGGTCTTGGGTTCATTTCCTACCCTGACACATGTTGTATATTTGGGGTTTGCGTGTTCTCTCTCTCCCTGTGGTGGTCATGTGGATTTGTCTCCGGATCCTGCGGTTTTTCCCCTTCACATTTAGAATCAACGCGCGTTTAGAGCATTTAGATAAGCCACTTCGTTGAGCTATTATTTGTGGCCAGGTCGCTTCTGAAAAAGAGCTATATAGCTCAGTGGGCCTTACCTGGTAAAATAACAAAAACATCTTTATCCTATATGAATTTTGAAATCGGCAGCTCTGAAAATGCACCCACGTCAAGGTGAAACTTACAAAATCATCCTCATAATACATGCTGTATAAAAGGTACAGATGCAGCCCTTCAATTGCTGGCTCATAACACTTCTGGTGAAGGGGCATAGACGAGAATGAGCTCCGAGGAAGCCGGGTATTTTTGGTCTACTTTATATTTGTACTGGAAGAACAACCTGTATAATAATACCTGTTCGCAGCCTTGAAAAAAAATATTGGCTTAAATATAGGCCAATCAGAATTGATTTTATAACTCAAGCGGCATGGCAACGAGCATCTTTATAGGCGCGGTTATAGCGATATTGAATAACAATTACAATTTCCTCAATATCGTAGCATGGCAAGCCATTACAAGCGCGCTGGCTAAGATTAGAATTATGACGACACGGCTATATTTGTGTGGTCAGGACATATTATGGGTAGTATTTAAATGCCAACAGCTGCAATAACAGATATGTTAATCCGATCCGCACAATTGTACGTATGTATGTTGAATTTTTTTCGCACCGTACATAGCCAACCGTGCTAATCGGAGGTGCTAAAATTGCAGAAAAGTGTTTTTTTCTATTTAATGTATATGACCACATTAACTCCCCTCTGGTCTTCGCACCTGATTCTCTCATCCGGATACGGCAGGTTTTCTCCACAAATTCTGGCTGTTGCCTGATGAGGTTGGTTGTAATCACCAGCGAAACGTTGTACTCCAATTGTAAATGTTGCGGGTTTACTCCGTAACACACCGGTGTGCTGAAGTAGTAGCTAACTAACCTAACTAATTGGCTGTGTCATGTGGTGGTGGGTTTAACGACACATTTATATTTACGCGACCTAACAAAACAAAAAACAACCTCTATTATGCAGGGGCGGAGCCAGGGGGGTGACAGGGTAGACAATTGTCACCCCCGAAAAAAAAGAAAAAATCGAAAATCTGAAACATTCTGCGTGTAAGTGAACGACACTCGGTCTGGCGAACCCCGTGCAACTGCATTGTCAGAGTGTGTCGCCAACCGATGGCGTCCAGTTCAACAGCCCGACTCTCGAATCATTCTTGAAATTAAAATTTGTTGAATGTCACCCCCGGCGCTGAAAATCCTGGCTCCGCCCCCGCTATTATGGATACATACGGAAGCGGTTAGGGTTTAACGTAGCCGCTTGGCTTCGGGCGCTACGCATCTTCACCGATCGAGCGTCACGACCTAACCCCTACCTGGTCATTGAGGTTGAGCGCCAGGAAGCCCGGGATGCACTTGGCGAACTCCGTGACCTCGCGGATGGCCTCGACCGAGCGGTGCTGGTAGCGGTTGAACACGAGGACCTCGGCGGCGCGGCCGTCCCGCGCGCGGCCGTGCAGCGTGGACTGTGCGCTCTGCAGCGACTCCATGTCGTGGATCACCACGGGCTGCCGGCGCCGGCACAACCTCAGGTCACACACGGCCGGCTTTGCCGTTCGAGACGTTTCGCGTTTTTTTTTTCTTTCTCAACGAGCGTGCATTGGGGAGGGGGGGGAGGGGGGGGGGGATGCATCGCGTGCGTTTTGCGTGGCCGTTTCGTGCAACGGTATTGTCAACCACTTTGATGTTCCGGGACGGCTGCAAGTTGCAGGGTGGGTGTCTCCGTTCGCCTCTGAATCTCGCGCAAGCGGCTAGGCGTCAATTTTATTTAGAGAGGCGTAGTAGCGGCGCCGCTGTTTTTAAAGACGTTTGCACTCACCGCGGAGAACCGTAGCGACACGACCGCCGCACTCTATGATAGCTGCCGACAAACTGAGCCTTGGTACTGATAAAGTTATTTTATTTTAGTTTTCCTTCCGAATTCATTTTGATGACGTACACGTCCGTCACGGGACCGGGAAAGGGTTAATCAAACGGCCCTTTGTCGAACCATTTTTGTCCAACAATTGTGATTGGCAAGGACTTATTTAGATGACACCCGGCCAACAACGCCACTTGCCCCCTCCCCCTCTCTCTACGGCGCGAGAAGAAAAGACACGACAACCTCCGTTCCTCCGATTAGCACGGTTGGCTACGTACGGTGCGAGAGAAGTTCAACGTATATACGCTCCAATGGCACAACCGAAACGGGCCAGCACGGGGCCCTTCAAGCTACGTTGGTTTTCCGCTGGCTATATTCCGTGCACAACAAACCGGAACAAAAATCGTGATGCGTTGGCCTCGCAAGATGTGTGAATATCGCTCGGGGCCAAGCAGAGCCAGGGGTGGCGGCGTTGGCGTGACCTTGCCCCCCCCCCACCCCGAAACCGGGCGGTAAGAGAGTCCCTCACCGAATGCACGGACCTTCCCGTGAGGACGGCCCGGGCCTTCTCCTTGGTGAGCGTGAAGTTGCGCAGGTACGCGGCGTACACGAGGTGCGCGAGGCCCAGCAGCGTCGTGTCGTGTGGGCTCCGCTCCCCGCCGGCCGGCGTCGCGCCCAGCTCCGCCTTGAGCCTCTCCTTCTCGGCCGCGGGCATTCGGCCAAAGCGGATGGCTGCGCGGGAAGAGAGACGACAGCGGACCAACGGCAGGGCACGTGCCGTGTTTTTATTTGATGACTACACGTGAAGGGCTCGCGGGTGACGTCACCACATCTATCCCTCTGTTTAAGGAACGAGACAGTTGTAATTACTGGAGAAACGTCGTGCTCAGAATGCAAATGTTGTGAATTTGCTCTCCAACACACCGGTGTGCTGTACTAATAACAAATTGGCATGTTCTGTTTACGTGACAAACCTTACTAATTAGCTGTGTCGGGTGGTGGCGGGTTTAACGAGATATTTAAATTATGACTACCCTGCCCGTGCCCACCACCCTGCTCGCCGCCACCACCACCAGCGCTCCAATGTTAGTTCCATTTTGCAATTGGTCTGGTGCTACGTGAAGAGGTACCCACAGAGTAATATAAAACAACTCTGATTTCTATAATTTGGCAATTCGCACAAAGGCTAAAAAGTGCTCTACGTGAATCGCAAGTTCTGGAGAAAGCCTGGTGTAAAACCGTCTGAGTTTTAAGGTGCGATTTAAAAAGTGCAACAGACTCAGATTCACAAATCTACGTATGTTAAACTTCTTTTGCACCGTACGTAGCCAACCGTGCTAATCGGAGGTGAGAGGGAAAGGTGCAGCCCTGCAAATGGACAGAGGAAGGGAATTCCACAATCGCAGAGTGGTGTGACCCTCCGCGTTCGAGAACAGCCTACGGAAGAAGTGAACATCACAGAGATACCTCCGTGATCCCTTCAAGTGAACTCTGCTCCACACAGTGAAGCGCAGCCCTTTCCCACCTGCTCTGCGCAAGAGAGCAGCGGTCATCACACGACGGTTAAACCCGTGTTTTTGTATTCATTATTTGGCCAAATCAAGTGCAGAACCAGATCTAATGCAATGCTTCTTGCTGTGCAATCATTGGTGACTGGAATGTGACCTCGAGATCCCGTTTTATTTACTATTCATTTATATTTAGTGACTTGCTTACCATTTTCCCAATTGTGCACTCCTATCGGTTTTATTTGTATTGTTTGCCGTTGAAATATATGTACGTATGTTGAACTTCTTTCGCGCCGTATGTAGCCAACCGTGCTACTCGGAGGTGCGGGGGAAGGACAACAACTTGCTGATCCGCCCATACTGGACATCTGTGAAAAAGAGCTTCATAGCTCATCGGATTCCTCCTCCAGTCTAAATAAAGATTATGATTTCTGATTCTAATCAGCCGTTCCAGCTGGATCACTGTCCCAACGTATCGTAGCAACGCCAGGGGTCGTCACCGGTGTTGAAAAGTGCAGCCCTGCAATTGCTGGCTCAACCCCCTGCCGACAGAGAGGTAACTCTTTAGGTTCCCTCTCCAGGTTATTTTGGACCTACTCTACCGACGCTGAGTCAGACGCCTTGAAAGCGGTGGCAGCACCTCACCCCACCACGAGCGGCCTGCGGATCGACTAAGCGCGGTGTGTGCCCATTGTGTACCCGCCGGGTGGATCGAGGCGGTTAAGGAACTTGACCGTTGGTTCAACCGCTGCGCCGGCGACATTGATCAACCGGCGACCTCCAGATTGAGAGACCAGCGTGCCAAACGGGTAACACCGTGGTGGCGGCCCCATCGTCACCAATGTGATCACTAACACGTCGCCCCTTTCGCAAAAAAAAAAAAATCACACGGCTCTCCCTGCGAACACAAATAAATGGGCCCGCGCCATTATGCAGCTGAGAGTGAGCTGTGTTTAATTAGTCGTCCCGCTTCGTCAGCGAAATGTCGGGGGCCGTCCATTGTATAGTCGAGGCTACTGAATTTGGATGGGAACAAAATGTTTCACTGAACGTGAGGTCCTGCGGAAAGGATACTCGGTACATTGCGTTGTCTTATTTCTTTGGCCATTTGCTTGAATTCCCCAGTGAAAATTCCGATCGTGCTGTCGGTAACGTGTCACGACATGAAGATGTTCACATTCGCAACTCTACGGCTGTGGCGGTGTTATCACCGTGTCAGAGAATGACCCGGGGAAGACGAGGATTCAAACGACCCTTGTCACACGTCACGAAAAAACCCAACGTTTCATTCTCAGAGTTGGAATAAGCCAAAATAAATAGCAAACTAAATCTGATATGATGGGGTTTCATTATAAAGGTTTCTTGTGTGGTTAGATCGCGTAAATATAAATGTGTCGTTAGCCCAGCACCACCCGACAAAGCCAATTAGTGAGGTTTTCCACGTGAACGAAATGTCCAAATGTGTTACTACTTCAGCACACCGCTGTGTTTGAGAGTTAACAAGCGGGCACACCTGTCAATCCCTTATCAGTGCCCACCATTACAGACCAATTCAGAAATTATCGGTCACCCCGTGCCCCTTATAAATCTCAACGTTCATCCTACAAAGTCCCATCACAAGGGAGAAACACAAACACACAGACAACACAAAATGTTTTTGCCCCGTGTTGAAACGGCTGTTGGCCGTATGGACCTGAAAACTCAATTTCCCTGTACAAGAATAGCGGGGCAAACCGTACGGGTTGACAGCTTTGTGTAGGCAATAGCCGACGTGGTCTGATCATTACGTGGCCTAACCCATTGGCTGCAACAGAAAAAAAACCCCCTACGTGTTATGCAACAATCAATGTTTACATATCTCCTAGGCAACATCCACTACAGTCTATATATAGAAGTCGTATAGCGATTATTGCAATTTAATTGTCTCTGCAAGACAACCGTGCACTTTAGTCCACATGGCAGTCGTTCCGTTTTTTTTTTTCATGAAGCAAATTATTGCCGGTTGCTATTTTCCCCGATGAAGCGACGACGATCGTACGCCGACGCGCTCGCTAAATGCCGCTTTTTCAGCGCTACGATAAGAAAATATACCTGCAGAGACAGAGCGGCTGTGAAATTACCTAATGTAAGCCGTGATGCCAACGTCAGCATGAACTCCCCCCCTCCCCACCCACGTTACAATTTACAGCCGTTATTCAATCGCTCTGTGGGATTAAGGCCAATCCCCATGCTGTGCTCGTCACAGGGGCTGTTGACTTTAGTTTATGGTGGTTGTACTTTTAAAGTCGCGGTGAACCAGGGATCGGTTCAGAGATCACTTACTACCGATGTTACTCATGGCTGGGAATTAAACTCTGGTTTGCCACGCTCGTAGTGCAGTGGGCAAAAACGACCGTGCAATCTCTGTTCCACAAAAAAAGAAAAAAATCCCCCGTATAGCCTTAGACTGTAGGGGCAAGTGCTGTTAGCGAGCTGCACCTATGAAGGCCGGCACAGCACACACGGGGGTGGGTGGCCACCACCACGCCCGGCCATCTTTGTCTCCCCAGTGGCGAGGTACTCATTTGAGGCTAAGTCGACCTAGGGGAGGCCCAGGACCGGTTCAGATAATTGCCACTGGTGTTGATCGCGAGAGGAAATGGAACTCGGGTCGCCGGGTTCGTAGCCCCACGTGCTAATCCCATGGGACCTTCTTTGCCAGTACCAAAATGAGAATAGGTTTTCCCCTTTTTCTGGCCTTTTGACATCTTCTGGTCTAACACTGTTTGAGACTAGGCTCAAAAGAAAGCCGTCTCTGGTGTGGACCAATCAGTTTCAAAGACAATGCATATATTATCAGAGTACTTTTTTGTTTGCATTCTGACCACAAGTATTGTGGTTAATGCAGACATGAATCCTTGTGTTTCGCCGTTACCAGGGCGCTGTTACTTTACTCGCCACCACCCTCACAGGCCGATAGGGGGCAGCCGGGAGATTGAGCGGGATGTGTAGTGGCAAACCGAACGTAACCCCCCCGGCGTATCTCGTGACCGGAGGTGGAGACCTCAGACCCCCAAGGGGTGGGGGCTGTGGGCTAACGGTTCATTCAGAACCTTCTGGAAGGGTCGAGAGGGGAGGCGTGGTTATGGGCGGGGTAAGCCCCAACTTGTGTATAGAAGCCGGTCCTCTTCAACGGGGCCGGCAGTGTTCGTCCACTCAAGACCCGAAGACATCGGAAGACTAGACCAGCACCCTGGGACCCTCAACCGAGGCTCTTGTAAGAGCCGGGTTGTAGCGGACCAGCGGTGAGACCCATACACTCTGGCTAGGTCGGGTCCCTCCACGAGCTCCCGTAGCGGAGGACCCGCGTAGCCCCGAGTCTGTAGGGCCCCGCTAGAAGGAAGGCTGTACCTCCCTTAGATTATCGGGTGAAGGGGCCGCTCCCCTTAGTGTTACAGGGGCCATACTCCTTAGTGTTACAGCTATTGTTATTGTTGATCTGAAATAAACGCGTTGCCCCTAAGAAGACGTCTCCTCGAAGTTTATGCCACAACACTTGTAAAAGGTTTCAGTTTGGTGTTTTAACAATTTAACACCTGTTTTGTTGCCAGAAAAAAGGGGAAAACCTATTCTCAGCGTGCTAACCATTACACTACCGCTCCCCACACAGCACTTTCTCACCCACTCCTGCGCCTGAGAGACATGTTCACCACGTGACAGGAAAAAAAACCCCCCACCATTTTTGTCTTTAAATTCTCAAGAGAGAAAATGTAGCCAATCGTTTGAATGTTGATGCTGTCCTTGGCGACCGAGCCAAGACCACTGATGTCAGCCGTGGCTGCCAGGCAAACGAAACTCAAGTCGGGCAGGGTAGGTTCACCACGCAGTGCGGTAACCACTCCACCACCGCTCGTCCACCCCACCTCAGCGTGTGCGACGTGTGGTAAGCGTGGCTTCTCGGGGTGTATGTCTCAGGGGTCGTGTGGTGCACTGCGAGGTCCCGTACCGCTGTGCGACATGCCCACGCTCAGGCACTTCTGGAAACGACAGAACTGGCACTTGTTGCGGTTCTTCTTCTGAATCTTGCAGTTGAGGCCGCAGTTCCCGTACTCGAGCTTCATGCGAATGGTGCGCCTGAAGAACCCCTGCCGCCGAGAACGCGAAGACGGAAAAAAACGGGGGAGAGAGAGAGAGAAATACAAAATCACGCACGCGCACGGGATTTCGTTTGCCAATAACGCACAACGAGATGATGTCGCCCAACGACGCGTGGTACGGATGTCAAGAGATGACGTTCACGCGTAATGACATCACCAGGGTCCAGATGTCTTGTGACCTCTCCCCACCCCCACCCCCCTCCCACCAAAAAAAAATGTACTGACCCCTACATTTTTTAAAATTTCCTTCGCATATTCGTCTGATGATGCAGGCAGTGATTGGAAGGAAACTGGGACTTTTTTTTGACACGTATGTAGGATGGATAACAACAGGACAATGTAAAGTGTGGTGTTTGGAAAAATGGAAGGAGCCGGAAAGACAGGAAGACGTAACAGAGAGAGATAACGCCTTGATGGCGACGACATGAAGAGATCGGTGCCAGAAAGACGTGGCCACGAGCATATGGGCAGAAGTGACACGATGTGCAGTGGACACCTACGGGACCCTCTGCCCATGGATCGTTATGATGTTCATTTCTGTTTTAAATCAACCTTACGTTTAAGAGAATTCAATGGGGGGTGTGGGGGTCGCAAGACATATGGACCACTGTACTGTATCTTGACCTACAGAACAATAGACAGAGAGCGTGCGGATGAGATGGAACAGTTTGGTAGACCGAGTTTGCGTCCATGGGAAAATTACCCCATGGTTGTAGCGGTAGGAAACAGGCCGCGACGAAAGTTAATGACGGAAAACGGATTGCCCCTGGGCACAATGGGGGGTAAGGAATAACAGCTCATCTGGTAGCCGATGGGCATTCCGTTATCCCCATTGTAGCCGATGGGCATTCCGTTATCCCCATTGTAGCCGATGGGCATTCCGTTATCCCCATTGTAGCCGATGGGCATTCCGTTATCTCCATTGTAGCCGATGGGCATTCCGTTATCTCCATTGTAGCCGATGGGCATTCCGTTTCAAGCTTTGTGTCACTCAGTGACCAGGAGGCGACTGACCACGCCGGAGGTGAGCGAGTGGCCGGGGTGAAAAAATAGGTCGCCTCGGCCTCAACTGAGTACCTGGTGCGGCGCGTAGCAAACATCGCCACTGGGGAGACAACGGAGGCCGGGGCGCGGTACTGGCCACCCACCCACCCACCCACTCAGCACGCTCGCGTGCCCATGCCAGCCCTTCCTTCACAGGGTGCTGCTCGCTCACGGCGCTTGCCCCTCAACAGCTTGTTAATGCTACGCGGCGGGGCGGGGTGGGGGCGGTAATCTTTGTTTGTGTGGTGAACGGGCAACCTTGCAGCCTTCGCACGCGTGCACCCCGTAGTGGAAGCCCGAGGCGCGGTCCCCGCACACGCGGCACTCCATGGAGAGCGGCGCCTCCACGGGCACCGAGGACGCCGCCGCCGTTGCCGCAGCGGATGCGGCGACGGCGGGGGCCGCTGAGGGCAGCTCCCGCAGGGCCACGTCGCCGCACGGCGGAACCACGGGCATCGTCGTGACGATCGCCGCCAAGGCTCCCCGCCTGCTTGCCCCTGGGGACGAAAGTTGAGGCAGTTATGGGATGCCACCAATCCAGCCAGTAGTCGTAGATGGACCGTCAATGATGGAGGGGGGTGGGGGGGGGGGGGTAGTTGGGAAGTCCAGAAATGTCAAGATTTTTAAGACGGCCCTCATCATCATCACGATCCACGGGCAGATTGCCCGATGGTGTCCACTGCACGTTCCGTTATTTGTTTCCACGTTCCTCTGTCCCGTGCCAACATGCTCAAGTAGTGTGCCACAGCTTTCTGGCACCAATATCTTATATCGTCGGCAAGGCATCCTCTCTTAGGTCTTCCTCTCTGTCCGGCCCTACGTGAGTGGAATATAATTTTTGAGGTCTCATCATGGGGAGTTGGGGAAGTTGCGTAACGAGCATGGGGGCAGGGGGGGGGGGGCTTGGTCCCCCCGGTGGCCAAAGCTACCGGTTTGAGCTCCCCTTGACAACCACAGTGAGATTTGTTTTAAACAGTTTAGTATTGGAAGTAACACAGTTTTGTTGTACCTTAACGAAACGTAATGTAACGTAACGAAACGTACTTGTCTTTGAATGACCTAACTTGAGCTGAAGAACATTGGCAATAGATCTTCGTTTCTGGGACATTTATTGCATTAGATACACGTCAATTATATTGCAAAGAGGCACGAGGAAGCTGTCGTGGCTGCATTTTGCGGCGACAGACCGTCCCTACAGTGTTAAATGATTTGGCAAGAGGAGCCGCTGATAATGTCGTCACCACGCCACTGGGTAGGGCCCTGTGCCATCATCACCAGCCATGAGCAATCAAAGCTGCGTTAAGCTGTAACTGAGAACACAATGCTAACAAGACTAGGGGTGGAATTAGTTGCATAAACACTAATAATTAACTTGCTGAAAACATCTTAAAATAAAAAAAACTAAAACAGGATCTGCCTTTAAAGAGAGAGTCCTACGACTTGAGCATCGTTTTTTCTTGAATGAATAACCACATTTTATACTCTTTGGTTTTTTTCGGTAAAGTCACAAAGGTAAAATAAAATAAATGAAAAGAACTAAATTAAATCAATTAAATTAAATCAAATTGTGATTTAATCGAGTTGTTTTCATTTATTTTATTTTACCTACGTGACTTTACCGAAAAAAACAAAGAGTATGAATCATTGCAGTCACGAAAGCTTCAAATCTTGAACCACATTTTAATCACTTTAGTCGGAGGGGAGTAGAGCGAGATGAGAGGGGAGACGTTAACAGGTCCACGGAGGATCTTGCAGTTGATCCGGACCTGGATTGGGAGCCAGTGGAGGGATGTTACTATTGTGGGTGATGTGGTCTTTGTTTACAGGTGCGAATGAAAAGTCTTGAGGTGGACTTATGGATCGCTTGTCGCCTGATGAGGCCGGTTGTAATTACTGGCGAAATGTCACGGTAATCGAATGGTAAATGTCGTGGGTTCACTCTGCAACACACCGGTGTGCTGAACTCGTCACGAATTGGCACGTTTTGTTTGACGTGACAAACCTTACTAAATTGGCCTGTGTCGGGTGGTGGCGGATTTAACGACACATTTATATTTACGCGATCTAACCCCAAACAAGAATCACCTATTATGTGGGAGAGAGTTTCATTCGTAAAGGGGGTAGGTGGGTTCACACACGCGATTTTGTAAGACCGAGCTGTTGGTGCACATAGAATGTGAGAAGGTCTGCAAAGATGCACCTCCCTACTTGTAAATGTGTGCCGTGAATGTCAGAAGAGGAAAGCGACAAAGAGAGAAGGTCATACTTGGGGACGGGGAGCGAGAAGGGAACAAAAAACTATTTTGGAGTTTGGCACAAGAGGCCACCAAACACTCGCCAAAGACATAAGGGCACTGCATTGGCAATGCGCACAAAGACAAATAAAATAATAAATTGATAAAATAAAATAACACAATACTATTCTCACGACGTTTCGGAGGACAGCGCTGCTGATCTCTGCAGGCCGAGTTGCCATTGAAAAAGAGCTTTACAGCTCAATGGGCTTTACTCGAAGGGAAATAAACTTCTGAGCATTCTGATTCAAAGTCGTCGCCAGCTCTCACGGACTTGTATGCATGTATGTACAAGGACTCATCTACTTAAGAACTTTCAGAGATACGAACAAACCCGTCCGTATGTCCAGTTGCCTGTTCGGATCGAGAGTTAAAAGTTCAACAACCGCGCAATAGATGGCGGTGGTGACATCTACATCTGCAAAACGTGAAGAACCAGTGACATCTACATCTGCAGAACGTGAAGAACCAGTGACATCTCCATCTGCAGAACATGAAGAATCAGCGGAATCTCCATCTGCAGAACTTGAAGAACCAGTGACATCTACATCTGAAGAACATGAAGAGCCAGTGGCATCTACCACTGCATAACACGAAGAACCAGTGGCATCTACATCTGCAGAACGTGAAGAACCAGTGACATCTACATCTGCAGAACATGAAGAACCAGCGGAATCTCCATCTGCAGAACGTGAAGAACCAGTGACATCGACATCTGCAGAACGTGAAGAACCAGTGGCATCGACATCTGCAGAACGTGAAGAACCAGTGGCATCTACATCTGCAGAAAGTGAAGAACCAGGGACATCTACATCTGCAGAACGTGAAGAACCAGTGACATCTACATCTTTAGAACGTGAAGAACCAGTGGCATCTGCAGTTGCAGAACGTGAAGAACCAGTGGCATCTGCAGTTGCAGAACGTGAAGAACCAGTGACACCTACATATAGATGAGATTATATAACGTTTAAAGCCATTTTCCCTGTTTAGTGTGCATGCCGTACATGTTTGGAATCAACAGGGGTAAAGTTGGACTTACGAACAAATCGACTTACGAACAGACCTCTGGAACCTCACTCGTCGAACTTATGTGCGTTGAACTTCGTTCGCACCGTACGTGGCCAACCGTGCTAATCGGAGGTGCGGGGGGGAGGCAACAATCCACCCAGCAGGACCTGTTGATGTCACGCATCTACCCAGGTGGGGATCCACTTCATTGGATGATGCTGTTCCTTGGTTAGCCTCGACCACCGGCCATCACCGTTGATAGTGTGAGCAATGTGTCCTACCCGAGCCTAGTACTTACAACGAACCTAGTATCTACAACGAGCCTAGTCCTACCCGCGCCTAGTTTCACCAACGCTGTTTAATTTGTCCTGCGGAGAAATTGAATTCGGCCACAGGAGCGGACGCACGGATGGGTCACCCGCTCGCTGGTTCGCTCGCTTCTGCTCCGACAGCACGAGGCGCGGTAAACACGCCCGCAGACATTGGGACATCTACCACGGATCGATCTGTTTTTGCCATTTTTTGAGCGGTAAACACAAAGCATCGCAGATACCGCGTCTCTTATCGCGGCTATTGTAATATCGCTGATAAATCACGAGCACAACACACTCAATAGAGCAAACAGAACATTGGTCCAGTGTTCACCCGGCGGTTTGGGAGTATTAAACCAAAAGTCACAAAACAGCGATGAAATATGCCCTTTGTAAGGAACCCTTATTTCAACCTTGAAAATAATTAGCTTGCTGTTCTCTGTACGTACAGTATACATGTTGGACTTCTTTGAACCTATCTACGTGACTTTACCGAAAGACCCAAATAATCCTAAAAAGCAGTTCTAAAGAAATTAGCTTTCAATCCACCTCTCACGTGGCATCGCGTTTGTTCCGCATGTTGTTCGGAACGATGTCTTCCGACGTTTCTCGCCAACCCTAACGCAGGAGCACGTGAGTCAAGCAGCTTCTCCTCTCTTGGCGCTCCAGCGTATCCAAATTCGTGCCGACATTTTCTGCGAGTATGCGTTTGGCACGGTGTGTCCCTACAGACTCATCACTCCTGTGCCCAAAGTAATCTGTCCAATGTTGACAAACACCGCCTTTTATCCAACGTGACATCGACAGAGAGATATATAGAGTGCTGCTAAAGTTAGTGGTTGGTCAGTGATACTGTGCCACGGATCGCGGCGACCTCAGTTCGATATTCGGCTCCAACCAACATCTGGGCCTCCAACCAACATCTGGGCCTCCAACCAACATCTGTGCCTCCAACCAACTTCTGGGCCTCCAACCAACATCTGTGCCTCCAACCAACTTCTGGTGCCTCCAACCAACATCTGCGCCTCCAACCAACATCTGCGCAGAACCTCTGCCCTTTCACCGGCCAGCACTGACCAGCGTGGCGACGGATGGTCAAACCACCCCCCATGACCGACAAAACACGAGGAGGCATTCATCCAGCAGTGGATTTAATTAAAAAGGATGAAATCTGTTTCTATCATTGTACAGTCGTGTAAAAGAGGCTCACTTTTTTTTTGTTTAGACCTCTCGAGCCCTTATTTATGTTAGTAACCTTTATACTAGGAATGCAATGCAATGTTAAATGTGTTAGTTCACGAGGCACGCTTGTGAATGATGTTGTTGATAATGTAGTTTCAGTCTGCAACTTACAGCCAGCAATAATGCCCACAAGAGCGCCCGACACATGCCCGTGATTTATCTCTCGTGTGTAATTTTAGAGTCAAAAGCTCCATGAAACATTCCACCACAAACACACAACACACGCCGCAAATAATGGCTCAAGTGAATGCGGCTGGCCATGCTGCGGATTATGAAACTATGCTTATATCATCGACCCGCACGTTATTGTAACAACACTGGAGCGTGCACACACATTTGGCTAACTCTGGCAATCGTTGAAGTCAGTTGCAGCTCCATAAACACCGAGAACATTTACAACGATCGTTATTTGAGCAGCCGGAAGACGATTGCCATTCTGATTGTATTGTTTTCAAATATAATTAGTAAAAATAAAAGGCTCATTCTAAAATAACATATCAATGTTATTTTCACTTTCACTCGACATAATGAGGTTTCGAAATGATAACATATTGCCCGTTGTCAATCCACTGCTGGATGAAGGCTCTCCCCCCACATCCGTTTTGGCCTCGGAGGCTGTTTGACAAATACTTCACCATGCTGGTCAGTGTGGCTTGGTGAAGAGAGAGGGGGGGCAGGGTATGACTTTATTTATCACTCACAAACAGATGTTATCCGTGTGCCAGGAATCCAACTCAGGTGGCCGGGTTCATGTTCTACCGCTTCTCTACCACCCCGAGGTGTATATTTTAAGTCTTAAACATCAATAGCATCACCCAAAGCCCATGCCCCATTGTTTCCGGGATAACTTAGAAGCGTCTTGAATTTCCCTCCGCACTTTGCATTCTAATACAGTAGTGCTATCGGCGTCACGTCAATCGATGTAAGATTCATTCGGAAATCTCTCAAGAGCAGCGAGTGCCATGTCTCCGAGAACGCCCCGCAGGATCAACCTTCACGGGACATCTGAAAAATCCTTCAAGTGGCCTCTTTTATCCAAAAATAAGTAATATTTAAAACAACTTTAAAAAAAAACACGCTTTAATGAAATATACCCGACTAGTAATGTAAGAACCCCCACGACTCCAGGAAGTGGCCCCGAAGCTTGCCACAACGTAAGGGGACCGTGGTGGTTTACAGCCAACGTCAGTTGACTGTGGACAAATAGACCCAAGGCGAAACATATCATATACAAAAGATTGTTAAAACATTTTTTTATGATAGAATATAGTATTGTCATCAGTATGACATGAGTATACCAAGTTTGCAGTCGATACCACATTGGGAAGTTGGTTAAAATGGAGTTACAAGATTTGAGAAATCGTGTGATAATAATAAAAACACAACAAACACTTAGGGAGCAACCCACTTCCCCGAACACTCTGGCTATGAAAGTGTCGCCTGCCAGTCAACGTATATTATATTTACAATTCTCATAGCTGGTACCCGGCTTAAGTGCCAATCAAAATGTATAACGTGTGTTTTATGCGTGCAGTCAGTCGTTGGTGACTGGGTTGAGACCCTAAGCTAATTCACTGCCACTTGAGAACTCAGTTTAGTTACATTTCGCTGCCTGGACGCCAACTCAGGGTGTCGGCAGGTCCTGGCTCAGCGCTCTTACCCCTAAAGTACATGGCAACATTATACTTCACAGTAGAATTATTTCAGTATTAACAGGGTGGCCCAAAAGTCAGGACACATCGGGTTATTTGATTTATTTTAACACTGGTATTCAAACATAATTGAGTTTTATTAAAGAAAAGATTGAATCATTACGAATACTAATATGACATTTTCTCCCTTTTCAGATGAAATTTACAATTGGAACAAAATTTGACTGAAAATGAAATAAAATTAGTTTTTTAAATGTATGCTCATGAAGGCAGCTGTAATATTAAAAAAGTCCTAAATTTAATTCAAAAGATAATTCATGCATGCATTAATGTTATTGGAAGTCAGTTTAGACATTTGTTAAAGTAAATGAAATCATCCTATGCGATTTGTTATAATATAATAACCCTATGTGTCCAGACTTTTGGGCCACCCTGTATATATTGAAAGTCAGTCGGCAGAAACCTTGTGGACATTCTCGCCTCTTTGACGAGAAACTAACCATGCGAAACTAACACGTAACGCCTTAAACTGCCGTTAGATTATTGAGACAAGTTCACAGACACTTTGTGAATAGCGGGAGGCAGGAATGATGTGTTAATCCGGCAAATAAGCCGACAGTCCATACGACAAACACACCCACAACCGCAAATATGCGTAAAAGTTATTCCCCATCCCCAACCCCTTGCCTGATCACGCACGCCCGACTCTCCCGCCGTCACTTTACTTTCTCTCTCTCTCGCCTTCGTGGAGACGACGTGAAGACTCCGGCAGTCGGAGGAAAGTTGTTTTGGGCAGGCGAAGCAACGCACAAAAGCAAAAACCAAACGCCGCCGCCGAGCGAGTTGTTGAAGCCGCGGATCTTCGCGGTGCTGTCGACGATTGAGGGCGACTGCGACGAGGTACACGGCAGGCGGGCGGAGTGAGTGGACTCGCGACAGACAACAGCTCTGCGTGAGCATACACCCACCCACCGTTTTGTGTTGTTGTTTTATTTACTGCTATTATCCCACGGGGACTGTGTTGAAGCTGCGCTGTCGGCAATGGGAGGGGAGGGAGGGGAGGGAGGAGGGCAGCCTGCGTGCGTGTGGGTGGGAATTGGATCCAGAACATCCCCGTCATCAGCAACAACATCATCATCATCGTCGTCGTGGGCGTAGCGGCAATCCGGACTTGATTTATGGCAGCGAGAAAAGCTGGAATTAAATAAAAACATTAAGAAAGATGGAACATCTGTTTTGGACTACGCGAGACTGAAATGTTGTGAGATTCGGTTTCCACTTGGGGACATGGATATTTGTTAAGGGCAGGGATAGCGGTGGTGTGATTGTATGTTGAACCTTTTTCCCAAGTAGTCAACCGTGCTAATCGGAGGTGCGCGAGAAAAACAACGAACTAAAATAAAAAAAATAAAGATATTTTTTTAAATTAAAAATTTATTATTTTTATTTTCTATTTACGTGCCTTTACCGAAAGAACCAAGAATATGAATCCCTGCAGTCACCAAAGTTTTAAGTCAAAAACAAATTAAAACACAAAAAGCAGTTCTAAAAATAATAATAATGAGTTTTCAATCTAGATGACTTAAAAGTGCATAGCTCCAGTGGCTTCCTAAAATCGGAAGGCAGAGAGCATTCCAGACGGCCGCAGATGCGCATCTGAAAGCGCCCGTCTTTGTTCGATGTTTAGCAAAAAGCCGCCGCTGCGAGGATGATCCCAGGTCGCGGCGATGATGTTTTATGGCCTTTGATGACATAAGCGAGGTATTTTTGGTGAATTTGTGGCAAGCGCTTTCGCGTGTGTAATTAGAGCGCCTCTAGCGGGTGCGATTGTGGTAGGCCAACTTCAAAATCACACGAGCTTCGAGTTGGAATCGGTGAGTGCCACATACAGTCCTGGAGTCGTGTATTTTGTTAGCGCCGCTGATTGATGAACGCACGCTGCGGTGAATCATGCACTGGCCAAAAGGACATTACTTGTGGCATCGAGGCAAGCACCGTTATATGTTGCTAGATTTTTTTTAGTTTCAGCAGCCTTTGCATTTGAACAAGTGCTGTTTCATTCCATAAGCATGCGTTTTTTTTTTTGGAAAATTGGTAGGGTGGATAAAAAACACATTTAACTATAAATACGTCTTCTTGGTTCTTTCGGTAAAGTCACGTAGAAGGGAAACAATAAAATAATACAAATATAAAACAATAAAATTCTCACGACGTTTCGACTGCAACACAAGCAATCATCATCAGATTTAAACCCATTTCCTAATGGAATCCCAGTGATGTTGTATTTTTTGGAGGCGTATTAGAGGATTGATACTGGTGGGGGGGGGGGGTGGTAACAATCCAATTTTCTTGGTGTGGTTTTCACACCTGATGATGATTGCTTGTGTTGCAGTCGAAACGTCGTGAGAATTTGTATTATTTTATGTTTTATTATTTTATTGTTTCCCTTCTACGTGACTTTACCGAAAGAACCAAGAATATGAATCCCTGCAGTCACGAAAGCTTTAAATCAAAATATAAATACGTCCTTCCAAAAAAACCGCACCTTGCTTGCAAACGGCGTTAAAACGTCTATGTCCGACTAGCACGGTTGGATACGTACAGCTGCGAAAGAAGCTCAACATACAGATACAGACACATGCATTTCGTACGCAAGCGATTGTGTTTCCACTCGTGTGCAGGAGCTAGGCGGATGGAGGTGGCTTTGGGGACGCTTGCATCCAGCAGTGGATCGGTTACAGCTGATGATTACGAGACAACAATTAATTTGCCAAGCTTCCACGGTGGATTTTGTGACGCCACGATTGATCGTATAAAATATTGTCTTTGATTTTACTCCACGATCTAAAACTAAGCAAAACGCGATGGCTTCTGTCCAGTTACATTCAAGACCAAATAAGGCATTAACACGAGTAATTGACACGATGAGGTCCCATTATAGAGAGAACAAACCCAGAGTTATCCGGCTTATTCAAATAAAAAAAACAATGCAATGTTTATTTGGATAACTTGAATGATTTAAACCCATTTCCTCCTGGAATCCCAGCGATGTTGTAATTTTTGGAGGCGTATTAGAGGATTGATGTGGGTGTGGGGAGGGTTACAATCCAACATGCCTGCTTTTAAGAGAGAAAATTACGTCGTTTGTTTACTGTTCCATTTTGTCTTCGAGTTCATCTTTTGAAGTGTGCTGCACGGTCATACACCGGCAGTGTGGTTTTTAGTACCGCATGTACTGTACTGTATATACTGAACTCAATATACTGTACTGCATGTACTGTATATACTGAACTCAACATACTGTACTGCATATACTTTACTGTATATACTGAACTCAATATCCTGTACTGCACATACTGTACTGTATACACTGAACTGAATATCCTGTACTGCATGATCGCCCCCCCCCACCCCCGGTCCGTGCTGCTACCGTGTAATGTATGGTCAACACACAGAGGGAACCGGTTCGTTCCCATCTCCAGGCGTGGCAGTTTAAACAATGGAGCCCTTAAACAATGGATCACAGAGCGCCAGGCATTTAAACAAGGAAAATAAGCGAGAAGTAACCGGTGATGGGATCTTCAGCTGGGATTTAAACGTCTCCCATCAACTCAGTTATTGAACTAGATTTGAAGTTTTCGTGACTGCAGGGATCCCATACTCTTCGGTTCTTTCGTCGTGACTTTACCGAAAGAACCCAAGATTATGAGTTCTTGACCTCCAAGGGGAGGGTAATTTCAGAGCCTCGGCGCCATAGAAATAAAAGGGCCTTCTGGTCACCCCAGATTCGAAAGCCTGGAGTGCAGTTACACCGAGTAGGAGAGGGCCCGATCGGAGTATCTCTGAGATCTCAGTGGAATGTGTTGCTGAATCAAAGTCCTGGATGTTTGGCGGAGCAGGCCCATTGAAAAAAGCCTCGAACACAAATAGGAGAATCCCAAACTCAATGCGAATTTGAACTGGAAGCCAATGTAGAGAGACATGGACGCAGGCGAGACATGGAGGGTCGTGGGTTCGATCCCAATCCTGACCCTGACACCTGTATATTTGGAGTGCTCACCGTTCTTCCTGTGATCGCGTGGATTTATTTCTCTGTGTTATCAGGTTTTGCCCTGCACATTTAGAAACAACGCGCTTTGAGATTAATTTATTCTGATATTATTATAAATTCCCACGCGATTGTCAGCCACTGCGATGAGCTATTATGTGTGGCCAGGTCGCCTCTATATCGTGCATTTAGATTCTACTGCAATACATTTCCACACGATGAGCCACAATTGTTGAGGCTATCATTTGTGGCCAGGTCGCTTCTGAAAAAGAAGTGAACACCTCAGTGGGACCATGTTTATAACAACATGTTGTTGTTGTTATTATTATAGACATGATCCCGAGCAGGAGTGCGAGCGAGAGACACATCCACACCGTCTACCGGAGCCAAGTGCGGTGATGCACGCCTGGTGTGTGAAGCACGCGTGAGATGTATGCGGGGTTGTGTGTGTCACTTGCAACAGCTTAGAGACGATAACCAGCACCGATACACCCGTACAACAAAGACCCCCCCATCCCCCCAGTGTAGTCTCAACAAACTGTGTTGGTTGCAAGGGCTGTTCGCGAGCAAGAGCACTTATGAAGGTCGCCAATGGCACACGAGGAGGGGGGGGGGGTGTTGCGTGGCCAGCAACCACGCCCGGCCATACACACACTCGGGGTGGGTGGAGGGGAGGGTCTTTCGGGGCACGTTGTGCTCATAAATAACTCGCGAAAACACAAGAAGCTGGGGCCACGTCGGCCCACGTCTCTCGTTCGTTCAGCCAAGTGGGGCAAGAGTCACTCAACCGGGCACCCCGGCACTCACTCGCCCAGCCACCCGCCCACTCACCACGGCCACGGCACGGGTTCAATGCCGAGGTCCATGCACGGACGGCAACCTGGAAAACCCGGTGGGGCGTCAGATTCCTTGGTTTGTGGCCACCACCCCCACCGCTACCACCGCGCCCCTTAGGGTGACTCGTCCTTGAACGTGAGCGCGTCTCTCGTTTCTCCGTTGTGTTCTCGAACGTCGCTTACCCTAATCAGGGGAGGCGAAGTGCCGTGCCCACGTGTCATGTGCGGTGGCTCTGACTTGCTGTGACGGCGGTTCAGGCTGTTTACTTGTTGACAAGGTGCCATTGATGAATGGATATAAAAAAAATTGCTGACGACAGCACAACTAACTTGCACGTGGCGGGGCAATTGAACTAGAAGTTTCTTCGCAGGCTGGTGACAAGCCCAGCGCTTTGTGGTTGTTTTTTTTTCATCACCCAAAGTATGGACATTGCACCGAAATAGTGGAATGTTTGTCGCGAATGATGAGTGTTCGTTTTAATATTTACAGATTGTTTTTTTTGCCGCAATATGTCCCACAAGAGGAGGAGCTTGGGGAGGCGCAGTGGAGTGATTCACGCAATGGGCCGTGAGTTTGGCTTCCGGCCACGGCTAACAGCAGTGGCGAGGCAGGGATGCCGCTACCTCTTGAGGTACAAAACATATATCGGAAGAAGAAGAAGATCTCAATGTAGGAATAGTGAAGTTCTGGAATTTCAAATGCATCGTCTTGAGTGGTGTATTATTATATACGAGGTAACTGACAAACTGGGACTATTAATGTCCCGGGGAGGTTTACACATTTCGACTAAGGACAGCTATTGTACTTCAAAAAGAGGGCAATCCTAGGAAAACCAGGATAGGTAGCAACCCTCGTGGTGAGTGATACCAGGACCTGGACAGAGCCGCACCCTTCACGGACTTGCACTGACCAGCGTGGTGAAGTATGGTCACGTAACGCCCATGACTGACAAGGTGTGGAGAGGCCCTCTTCATCCAGTAGAGGATTGATAAAAGGACTGCATTATTATCTAATTATATTTATCTCATAAGTTTACAATTAGCCAGGTTTCAGACCTTGGAGTTATTCTTCCAGTTTTCCTTGGTGGACCTGTGTGACTCCATGATGATCACGTGAACATTTGATGACATTTGTTTTACTCCATGATCAAGAATAACAGCATACTCTAAATAGAACACTGTAAATAACAGAATTATAAACCTTTAAAAATAAGTAAATGGATAACACAGAATATCGAAACAAACTGGAATTATCTGTAATAGGAACAAAACTTACAGCCCTTTGTAAATACACTTCTGACGAGCGCCTCCCCATGCCGTACAGGTCGTGGGGGTCATTTGACCATACTTCACCACGCTGGTCGGTGCAGATTTGTGAAAGCCGGGGCAGAGACGCCACGGTGTCTCTGCCTGGTATGCAGGAGGTCTTGGGTTTGATCCCGATGCTGACACCTGGTGTATATTTAGAGTTTGTATGTTTTCACTGTAGTCGCGTGGATTGTCTTCCGGATCCCCCGGATTTTCCCTCCACATTTAGAATTCCCACGTTATTTGCCACTTCATTGAGCTATAATTTGTCATAGCCAGATCGCTTCTGAAAAATAGCTATATAGGTCAGTGGGCCTCACCTGGTAAAATAAAACAAAAATAGTTTATAAGTACGGTACAACAATGAACTTTTTACGGCATAAAACAAATAGTGCACCATTCCACTACTATTCAAAGCACTTACCGTAATACTAACCAGCTATCACATCCACCACCTTAGTACCGGTTGACTCACCGGCCCGGCCCGTAACCTCACATTACCCTCTTCCCCAAGACCCCACTCACTTTTCTATTCAACGTTGTTGTTTCTGGCGTTCGCAAGCACTGGGTGGGGGAAGGTGTTCGAAACCCACGCAGACGCAGGGTGTGTCCGGTGGTGGGCACGCTGTGTTCATAAATAACTCACGAAAAACTGCTTCGCTCGATCCTAGGGGGGCGGCGGGGTTGGGGGGTGGGTGACTGGCTCGGGGAGTTCACAATGAGCCAAATGTGCCAAGGGTCACGCAGCCGGGTTACTCATCCAGCCACTCAACCCAACTCAATTGCATAGCACGTAACCGCACCGATGGCGCTGTTTGTAACCTTGCCGAGGGTTTCATGAAATCCGTCACCGTACACCCCGGCTCCGATATTAACGCGCCGGGCTTGGGAAGATGAGCCGCTACGTTGTGTTGCAACGTGGGGTTTCGCGTGACGATTATCACCGCGCAGCCGCTTGCGTTGTGTGTGCCCACGTCGTCCACCGAACGTGTGCCGGCGGCTGCCGCCAGCGATCACCAATGCACGAGTTGTTGAAAACATGTTTACAGGGTTAACTCGTTATTCGCGCGGGATACGTTCCTTGAGATGCTGGCGAATAGCAAAATTTTGCGGATAATGATATTGCCCTTTTTAAAAATAAGTTACCTTAAATAAATACGTAATTAGGCTATGAAATGCATGACAATTATCAGAAGACACCTCTTTATCTAATCACTTTCTCTCTCATAACTCAATGTTATCACTGTCTTACATCACACACTCTCTCTCTCTCATCACTTTATCTCTCATCACTTTCGTCACTTCATCTCATCACTTTCCCTCTCTCTCTCTCGATGCAGTAGTCGTGTAGAGTTCCAGATGCGATTCGCGGATAGCCAACACCGCGATCAAGTTCGCGAATAGCGAGGGAATGACTGTACACACATTTGAGGCATCTCTCCTGTACGATACTTACAAACGCTACATTTGTTCATGGCCATACGTGTTGAACAAGAGACTTGAATGCGGGATTGGTGGCTCATGAGACGGTGATACTCACCCTGGAAGGGATGATAGTCGTCATTTGGGGGGGACAGCCATGGAATGGAAATCTTCTTTGAAAGGACGTCTGCCGAGGAGCTGGTGGCGATGAAATCAACACCAGTGCAGGTGCTCGGTGGATTGTTCCTTTAAACTTAACTATTTTTTTTTATTTTATTTTACCCGGTAAGGCCCACTAAGCTATATAACTCTTTTTCAGAAGCGACCTGGCCACAAATGTATAGCAGCCAAATATTCTAAACGCATATTTGTGAATGTGGAGGGAAAAACCGGAGGACCCGGAGAAAAATCCACGCGACCACGGGGAGAGAGAACATGCAAACTCAAAATATACAACAAGCGTGAAGGCCAACTGGAACGCATTCTTGGGTCCTTAATAAATAACCTCACGAAGCTGCCTTTAAAGAGCCGCATGCGGCGCTGAAGCCGCAGGTAGCACGACCCCTGGGCTAACCTAGCCAAAGCCTGCGATAAAAGCTATTCCTGTTATAAACAACATTTTTTTTTTTTACAATGGCTTTCTTCGGTCAGGGCAGGGCAAGCTTGCAGGGAAGATGAAGTGGGATGGGTCCAGTCCATGGATCCGCGTGCTTTGTGGAGTGTTTAGACAAAATATGAGCTCTGCAGCAACGGCCCAGGGCTGCTCCCGAGTCACTGGGTGCACTTATTTAATGGTTGCGGAAACGTGGCATTAATGGCTTGTTTACATTTCCTGTACTTTGCACGACTATCATGCTTTTTATACTGCTTTTTGTTGTAACGTTCTTACCCGCCCCTACTGGACATATGTGAAAAATAGCTTTATAGCTCATCGGATTTTGTGATTCTGATCCTCAAAAAAGTGGCATGAGAGTGGAGAAGAAAGTTTTAATCTCAGCTCTGGATAGAATTGAAACGAATTGATAGAGCCCGCACGTGACGTTGAATACTCGTTACGCTTTTAACATAAATATTATTCACAACGGGAATAATAAAACTCAGCGACACACAGACACTTTCATTTTTATTACGTTTTTTGTTTGTTGTTCAAACGCATCGACTTCACATTTACAAACACTGGCAGCCCACACGTTTACGAGACGGCAAGCAATGACTGTCCATTTGAAACGCACGGCAAACTAAACACACGTCGTCTTTCCGCTCACTCCGCGTCCTCCCGAAATCAAACGCGGAATGTCCCTCTTCGCCCTCCCCCCGCCCCGCCGCCACCCCCACCATGAATACCGTGAAAATATTCACCGAATTAAAAACGGTGGACATTTGAATCAAATACGTTCTCCTCCTTCTCCTCCTCCTCCTCTCGGTAATTTAGCAAGCAGCAAAAAACACGAATAACTTACAGACTTTACTCGCAAATGAAAGAGGTGGGCTGACCGCTGGAAACGACAACCCCCCCCCCCCCAACTGATGTCAGTAAAAGGGGCACGCTCTTTTGCAGCACAATTAGCGATGGACTCATCGACGACACCTTCGACGGGAAAGCCTTTGCCTCGGCAGTGCAGGGAAGAGTTCAGGCCCACGGCATTCGGCGCAATCCCCCCCCCCCCCCCCCGACTTGTTTTCGTCGTCGCGGTGCCGAGATGATCGAAATTCTCAATAGTCGAGCGGCCGCGTGCACAGGAGGGGGCTCGTCATTTGTGCTCTGCTCGGTTGTTGAGTTAGAACTGGAACGATTGATATATCTCTGTACACTACAAGCAATTACTTTTTTTGTTACGTTACCAGATAATGCCCACTGAGCTGTGTAGCTCTCTTTCAGAAGCGACCTGACGATCACAAATGATGGCTCAACGAGGTGGCTTGTCACGTGGAAATTAACAGCAGGCGAATAGTGCACTCTTGACGCGTGTTCCATATTTAGAATCAAAACACGTTGACTCTGAACGTCGAGGGAAAAACCGGAGGACCTGGAGAAAAATCCACGTGACCACGAGGAGAGCATGCAAACTCCACATATACAGGCATCAGGGTTTGGATCGAACCCACGACCTCTGCTTATCAGGCGAGAGAGTCAATATCTCGCCACCATGGTGAACAGCAATATCGTGGTGTAGAGATATTTACGACAAACTCTGGCCAGTTCGCTCCATGGCCTAAAGCGAAAAATCAATTGTGAAGAGTCAAATTATGATAATGGTGATGGTGGCAGATGATGATGGTGACGAAAACACACATCTTTCCATACATTCGTAATAATATGATGATAATAATGTAGGAGATTGGAATTGAGCCACCCGTTGAAAGCATGGCAATCAAAACCAAACAGATCATCTGTTAAACGCTTTTGTTCACTCTCCAGGTCAGGTTACATCCTCTAAAAAACGCTGACTTGCGTTTTGAGAAGACAACTTTTCTTCCTCCGATTTTGCGCACAATGCTCATCCTCGTTCTCGGGTTGCAAGCGGAGAAAGTGCTAAAGATCCCTCGCGGGACCGCTGCTGAGCACCTGAAACGGTCCCGCTGCACTCATTCACAGCCAAGCCTTTCCCGGAAGGTGTCGTTGGGCTCTCCTTTAACACATCCTGCGGCGTGAAGCGGTCGAGACAACTTTCTTCACGTGTGTGTGTGCCCCCCCCCCCCCCCCCCAAGGAAGACAAATACCGCCGAGCCAAAACAACTGCCCGGAAAGGTTCGCCGACAGCCGATAGAGATTTACGACGACAAGTGAAATGTAAATCGAAGCTTCCTTGAAATTCGATCAAATTCAAGCCACGAATTGCACGTACACACACCTCCCCCCGCCCCCCTTTTTTCAAACGACACACAGGAGTATAAATACTTTCCATCTACTTATCAATCTTAACCTTTGCGCGTGGTGTCGATTCGGGCAAAACAACGAGCGAGGTTCAGTGGCCACTCCGGGGTTTGTAGGTCGGCTGATTCGATCGAGGCCCATCGTCCCGACGCCGCGCGGGATGGACGCGGACGGCGAGCGCAGGGCCGTGCGCGAAGCGGGGCGCCTCCGACATGCAAGCGACGTGGCACGGGGGACGACGACGCTGGGAGGGGACAGCGCTGGCCCATGCGGACACATACGGGAAGGACAATCGCGAGAGGAGAGGTCAGTGACGTAGCTATGGAGCGCGTAGGCGGTGCACGCGCACCGCTGCACCACCGCTCCGTCCTGGCGGCGACAACACAAGTTGGAAGAAATTGGAATGCGCCTGCAGCTGCCGGGTGTTTGCCTACCTCTTGAGCGACGAAAACGCCTGGACATATCACGGGGAGAATAATATCTGGCAAATACTGGCAAGAGGAGAGAACTACGTGTGCACGAATTGTCCCGAGTGGTGTATTATTATTATGATTACTTTTGTAGTGCACTGACATAGACTTACAGGTTACCCAGAATAGCTATCTCAAAAAGAAGATCCTGGGAAAACCGGGCCGAGTTTGCCATTGGCGTGCACATTTTCCAAATGACATGCTCTTGGTCTCCGCCACCGCCCCCCCCCGCCCTCTCTAGAACGAGGACGACCGCACGTGCAGCTGATGCGGTGGACCAATACGAATGTGACCCATGCAGGGAGAAGCGCGGGGCACAGAGGGAATGAAACGACCGCCCTGCTCTACTCGCATCGCTCAGGCCGCACACAAAAAACAACGGGTCGGCAAAGAACGAATGGGGTTTTGTTTTTTGTTGTCTAACGCCACACCATTCACACGTCCGTCATGCTCGGCAACCGTTTTCGAAGAGGGATGCGGACATTGGCGGCAGGGAAGGGTTTTGTCAAACTGGAGGGGCTCTAAGAGCGAACGCGCCCAAGTTGCTCATGTGGTGGTGGGGTCCCCAAGGTCTGCTGTCGTAAAAACGCACTGCAAGCAGATATCTCAACGTTAAAATACCCCCGGATAACGCCTCCCACTATCGAATTCTACTCAGTGTTTGGACCCGTCTAAATCACTTTTTATTTGAACCCACGGAATTCAGTCTCATTGGACTAGTATGATGTTAAAATGACGCAGATTATTCTATAACCAAAACCCCGTGCAAATTAAATAACCCTCCACATAATTGCGGATGATACCTTGAGTTAGCATGCGATATAATTAGGATTTATGTAGCAACGAACTGAAACTCCATCTCAGGTTATCGATTGCCGCGTATTTACTTATTTCTACTTAGCAAACATGTATAGACTCGGGTCCTGAAGTTACCGAGTATGTTATTGAAAATAAATCGACAAGCAAACCACAATCTGGACATAACTCTTGATTGTAGCAGTATACCTTTAGCTTCATCGAGTTCATACGATATCTGACAGAATATAGGACGGAAAAGCATTGAACCGTTTCGGTGGCTTTAAGTTAATTTAAGCGAAATGCACTCGGTCTGAGCCACGGTTTGTGGTCACGTTTGAGAGGGCGGCAAAGGAATAGGAGGCGAGGGCTGGGATGAGGCCTGTGCAGAACAAGCACAGATTGGTCCTTCACTCACACTTAACGCTTAAAAGGCAGGGCTTCATTTTTCATGGAATGTTTTCCCCGGGGCCCTTAACCCCCTAACCCCTAGAAATATTTATCAGAGCTCAGCCCGGGACAGCTCCATGTGAACTGAAGCCCTACTTAGAAGTAACATCGGTTCGCTACTGAACAAAAAACACCCACCCTCGCCACCTTCAGCTGTAAATTGTAAAATCAATTTTAAGTGTGCACCAAGTAATTTGCAGTATAAGATAATATTTTGCCATCCTGCTGAAAGGCCTTCCAGATTAACGCGTCCTGGCAGCATTCGTTTAACCAAGTGATCTTGTGGTGTCTTTGGCTGCGTCTCGTTAACGAAGTCTCATTTGGGCTAGCCGATGATATGGGCAGAGGCCGACCTTCAACGGGACGCAGCCCAAACTAACAAGGGGCAGTGTTCCCCATCCTGGACTCGCGTTGTGCTGCAGAACTGATTCGAGAACCAGATTATGTTGGTGACGCTGTTGCTGCGTTGGCAGTGGTGCAAACGCACAGTTAGCAACAACAACAACAACTCAACACGTATGTCAATGATACTGTGGCCTTAAAAATAAATTATATACTCGTCGATGTTTTTGGGAAATGGTTCTGCTCTATTAATGTACTAGGACAAAGAGTAATTGCCCTAAACATTGCCAATTTTTTTTCCTTAAAGGCAGTGTTATTAACAAACGTTTTGAGTTATTTATTTTCAGTTTAGAACCAGCCACACCGTGAACGAGATTTTAAACCAGAGTTGGGACGATTCGCCGATGAACCAATTAAATATTGCAATCAACTAATTTACACAATCACTTGGGCCCGTGAAAAAATGGCGGCTGCCCCCCCCCCCCGTTGTTTCCTGAAGGAGGGAAACCCCCCATAAGCCACGCCCAGCGTGACGCAGCTGTTGATGCCGACGACGTCACCAAAGTCTCGCCTATCACCTCCCGTTCAGCGGCACACGTGGGAACGGAGATGAGACTTCCCCCCCCCCCCCCCCCAACTATTTCCATCTTATCCATACAGTCCAGTAACTGACCATTAGACTGATCCGTTTATTAAACAATCGAATATCCGAGCCCTGCTTTAAACCTGGTTCACACCAAAGACAATATCCGTTAACTGATGGAAACTTAAGCAGAAGAAAGCTTGAATGTTGAGACATTCAGCGTGATCACGTGAGCCATACGAGTGAGCCACGTGAGTGAGCCACGTGAGTGAGCCACACGAGTGAGCCACGTGAGTGAGCCACGCGAGCCACACGAGTGAGCCACGTGAGTGAGTCACGTGAGCCACACGAGTGAGCCACACGAGTGAGCCACGTGAGTGAGCCACGCGAGTGAGCCACGCGAGCCACACGAGTGACCCACGTGAGCCACGCGAGCCACACGAGTGAGCCACACGAGTGAGCCACGCGAGCCACACGAGTGAGCCACGTGAGTGAGCCACGCGAGTGAGCCACGTGAGTGAGCCACACGAGTGAGCCACGTGAGTGAGCCACGCGAGTGAGCCACGTGAGTGAGCCACGCGAGTGAGCCACGTGAGCCACACGAGTGAGCCACGTGAGCCACACGAGTGAGCCACGCGAGTGAGCCACGTGAGTGAGCCACGTGAGCCACGCGAGTGAGCCACGTGAGCGATCCACGTGAGCCACACGAGTGAGCCACACGAGTGAGCCACGTGAGTGAGTCACGTGAGTGAGCCACGTGAGCCACACGAGTGAGCCACGCGAGCCACGTGAGCGAGCATTGCGAGCGAGCCACCGGCGACGCAGCGAGAAATTGGCGTGTCGCGGAGCGCGAGTCATCGACCGTGGGCCTTAGTCGGAGAAGAGGCTTGCGAACGACTTGCGCAGCGTCCGGATCGTCTCGGCTTTGGCCTCCTCCTCGCCGGAACCGGCCTTGCCGGCGCCGTCCCCGCCGCCCATCGTGCCCGACACCGACCGCGACTTGCTGTTGGTCGGGGACACGTGGGGGGGGGGGGGTAAAAAAGTAACGCGGTTGGTTTAGCCCAACGAATTGCTGAGACGTACAAACAAAAACACGCAAGGCTGCGACGTAGCGGTCACCTACGTCTCGGTTGACTACATCATGGTCGACAACGTCTTGGTCGACTAAGTCTTGGTCGACTACGTCTTGGTTGGAAAAAAATAGCAACACAAGAAATGTGGATGCCATCGATAATGTCGTGACAATGTCATTGTCATCCACATTTCTTGTGTTGCTATTTAAAAAAAAAATGTTTCATTACATTTCAGTAGGAGTCTGGCACAGAGCACAAACCGCGGCGTGGGGGAGTGAGGGCGGGGTTGGTACATAAACTCCGCAGACTTAGTCCTGAACGCTCTGCTCCTGGATTCAGATGAGGGAGGAGATTTTTCTCGCGGTCCCCACCGAGTGGGGACCGCGAGCGGGGTGTGTGGACTCTTTATGTGGGGCTCTGTCGCTATTCTAACAACCGAGCAGAATTTAGATTGCTTTGGGTTCAGCGTGGGGCTGCCCAAGTGGTGGCCAGGTCAGCATTTGGCTCGGGGTTCGGAGCAGCGAGCCGTCACCGTAGAGAAGCATGTGTTCGAATCCGGGGTGCCATCGGTCGTTAAAGCAGGGCCTCAAGTGGAGCCCGGTTACTACAAAAAACACAGCAATCATCATGAATTAAAAATCTCACCGAAGTTGGTTTTACTCCAGCTCTGAGAAATCAACATTTTGGTTTGATGCTCAATGGACACTGTTTGTCGGGAATATGAAAGGCGGCACCCCAAGTGTGGATACGGTGACCTATTCAAGCATGACGTGGTAAGAATTGGGGAGGAAAAAGCAAAAGAATTATAAGGAAACCCAGGGACTGCCAGGAAAGTGAGGCTGAGGTCAACCTAGAACTCAGTGTGGGAAAATTCGCAAAAACTCCCAAAGACAGGGCTCTGCGGTGCGGTGTAGGATAGCCCATCTCTTGCGGCCAGCCCTCGGATCGAGGAAAGGCTAGAGACGGAACGATCGATCGAATCGACGTGCGGGACGTGGTATATCGAGCTTCGAGGTCTCGCTGCAGAACAGGCGTCGGTGAAGCTTACTCGGTAATTATTCCACAAAATGTACGTACGTGTGTATGTATGTTGAACTTCTTTCGCACCGCACGTAGCTAACCGTGCTAATCGTAAGTGCGCGGAAAATGACAACAAACTGAACACAAAAAGGCAGCATTAAAGGGATGTTTTTTTTTTCAATCTGCGATCGAATGCCACGGTGACTCGAAGCGAGGCCGAAGCCGCTCCCGTGTTTGCGAGCGCGACAGAAAACGGGCCGGGCACCTACTTGAGCTGCGGGTGCGGCTTCTGCTCCGGCTTGGTCGATGCAGCGGGGGTGGCAGCTGCTGCAGATGCTGCTGCAGCGGCATCAGCAGGACTGCTGGCAGAGGACGACGAAGCCGACGATGCCGACGATGCCGACGTCCGCTGCTGCGAGTGTTTGGTCGTACTCCCGGTGGGCCCTGCCGCCCCCTGCCTGTCTGGCGGCACTGGCTGGCCCGGAGCGCTGGGCCGCGGTTGCTGGGTCTGGGGGTTTCCTCCAGACTTTGGCTTGGCTCCTCCGCTCGCCGCCGCCGCCGCCGCCGCGGCCGCTGCTGGACCAGACTTTTGCTGCTGCAGAGCTGGAGGGTGTGTTTGTTTTAGTGTGTGTCAGTGGGGAGCGGAGGCGCAGCGGTTGGCGTGATGCGGTGGGCCAATAGCAGTGACGATTATTTTAAGTGGTCCTGAGCTTCCCCTAGGTCGACTGAGACTCAAATGAGTAGTTGGTGAGGTCTTTAAATATCGTCACTAGGGAGATAAAAGTGCCCCGGCGTGGTGCTGGCCACCCACCCCCTCGCTAACAGCACTTGCCCCAAGAGTCTGTTGAGGCTATCGGTGGGATCTTTGTCTTGCTAATTGGAGTAGAGTGGTGAACATCACCAACATCACCATAATCACCATAATCATCATCATCGTCGTCGTCATTTTCTTATTTTTTTTTTTAAATTCTTGGTCGCAGTGTTGTTGATGCAATTAGTGCTTCACAATGAGTGATGTTTATACATAAATACCGCTCACCTTGATTTGAAGTATACCAGATAAATATATCACAAATCTTGACTTAAAGCTTTCTTGGGTCTTTCGGTAAAGTCACGTAGATAGGTTTAAAGAAAATAACAAAAAAAATATATACCACAGCCCATTGTGCATCCATTGTTGAAATCAGGGGCTCCCCATGCCGCGTCGGTGATGGCATTTGTTTAACCATATTTCACCACACTGGTTGAGTACGAGTTGGTGAACGGACGGTGCCCAGCACTGGTTAAATTATCACTTGCCGCTGATATTCGCCGTCCCCAGGTATGGAATTCAAGTCGCTGGTTTCTAGCGCGGTGCACTTACCGCTGCACCACCGTTCTGCCCACCAGGTTACATGCCCATTTAATCCTTCACGTTCGTGTGTTCCTCAGTGTTTATTTTTTTATGACAGGGGAAGTGTTATCGTTATGCTGGATATGTCAGATGCTTACTTTTAAACATTGGTCAAACAAAACAAAAAAACCCGACTGAACTTTCGGAGACAAAAGTTTCGACTGAGACACTGCTAAGTGATTTTTTTTTTAAACTTGAATTCATATTCCTATTCCAAGAATTTGAGGAAAAACAAAAGGCAATTGCGCCTGGAAATTGAGCTCTATTAATTTAGTGAAATAAAATCCAATAAAAACTATTATAATAATAATCCAGTCAGCAGTCAGCACTGGAGCAACGTGAGACTTGTCTAGACGTTCAGGGTAACGTCGAACATTTAGGAATTTCATTGCAAACTATAACAACCGTCTCCGTGGCCAATAAGGCACCTGTGGGCACCATGGCACAAACTGCACTGCAAAGCAGTTTGGATGTCTTCTTCAGCGTGTTATGATTCACTCCCCTCGAGGTCGCAATGTTTAATTTTTAAATTATTATTTGTCTTGTTACCATCTAGTTTGTATCACATCTTGTTTTTTTCCTTCTCCTACGTACAGTTGTGTTTGCTCCATTGCCGAATTATATATTTTTTGTTACATATAATTCACATGCGTCGTAAATGTTAGTTTCCCACGCATAAACTTTTTCGCATATATATATCCTGGGGGTAAGAGTTGATGCGATAGACGAATCGATGCGTCGTTACCTGGCTACTCCCTGTGCACAAAGTCATGGGGCGGCACTGTCAACTTTCGATTAAGAGCGAGGGGTGGCCCGGATAAAAGCACAAAAACGGAGGATGCAAAAGACGCGGAGGTTAGGCGATAAAAAAAAAACATTTTTTTAGTGACTTACCTTTCCTATACTTTGCACTCATATCAGTTTATGTATTGTTTTTGTAAAGGTCTGACCCACCCCTACTGGACATCTGTGAAAAAGAGCTTCATAGCTCATCGGATTCCTCCAGGATAAATAAATATTCTGATTCATTTGTAACCTACGCAAGAATCGTCGTAAAAGACGTGGAATGCGTGGCAAAGTATTCGGTTAAATCTTGACTTGAAGCTTTCGCGACTGCAGGAATTCAGATTCTTTGGGTCTTCCGGTAAAGTCACGTGGACAGGTTCAAAGAGAAGAGTTTTCTGTAATTTTTTGGGTTATTTTCTTTGAAACCTACCCCCGTGACTTTGCCGAAAGACCCAGGGAATAAGTAATCGGTTAGTTTGCCGACACGATCGCGGTCACATGAACACCGAGTCACTAACCTCTCTACGATAGCAGCTATTCGGTTAAACCAGCAGGTGTAAAAATGCATGATTGCATATTTTTTTCGCAATCACGGTTAAGTTGCTACCCGGATAACCCTCCCCATGGGTGATGGAGCGGTTATCTGCACTTGCTGCTGCGTAGGTTTCCACCGCCGTGCCGTAGATCTCTCGGTTTTCAGGTCGCATCGCGTTGCTGTTCGGCGTGATTCACCCCACCGCGCGCTGGGAGCTTATTCGGAGGCTGAATTCGAAGAAACTCCCAGCAACGTGGGACGAAATGTTAACCAACACGCGGTGCAACCCGAAGACACACCGGAGAGCCGTAGCTGTGTTTAAGACCGAAACGGGAGGAATTCTCCACAACTCTGGCTGTCACCTGATGATGCTGGTCGTAACAGACGGCAAAATGTCGCGGTATACTCCAATTGTAAATGTCGTGGGTTTACTCTCCAACACACCGGTGTGCTGAACTAGTAACTAATCGGCATATTTTTGTTTACGTGACAAAGCTTGCTAATTGGATGATGTCGGGCGGTGGCTGGTTTCACAACACATTTATATCTACGCGATCTAACCCAAAAAAAAACAAACCCCTCCATCGTGGACGACATTGGTCGCGGAAGCCTACGACGTGTCAAAGTGCATCTGACAAGTTTTGTTCGGCCTGCCGTTTTGGTTTTGACGTGAAAGAAGACGAACCCGTGGGGGCCTTGTCGGTGGACGCGCTGCGCTGTAGAACTGTCGGCGTTGGCTGTTTCTGAGCGACACTCGAGCTCGGTGCTGGCTGCTGGGGACTGCCTGTGAGCGACGAGGAGAGGGGAGGAGGTTACATTTCAGTGGCAGAGGAATGCTGGCGATGAGCTCTCAGGCACGAGCAGGCACAGGAAGCAGGCCACCTGGTGCGATGCTTTGTTTTGCAATATGAAGATGTTACAGAAATTGTTGCATTTTCGACGAGGAAGCGTCGTCTTATCACTCCGTCGTGTATTTATTCCCTCCCACACATTTCATTCCAACTTTGCCACTGGTGCCGTGTCATGAGATGAACATTCAGAAATGTTAGAGAGCGGCACAAAAACGAAACAATGTTACAAAATACGTGCGATGTACAATTACACATTTTCGGGGAAAGTGATATCGCGATAACCTTCGTGAAATAAAAAAAAACCGTTACAGTTGAGTGCTGTCACGTGATAAATTATGTCGCGACAAACCCTGGTGCCGACAATAGGGGCACGCGTATAAATAGGATGGTGGATACGGGATATTTCACTCCCGCTGCAAGGGACAGCTGCGAATGTGGTCTCGGGATGTCCAGGGCTTACATGGGGGGCAGCTTACGGAGTTCCACGGAGGTGCCAGCGGGGTGGGTGTATGTCCCGTACAGGCGACGTCGCGAACTGGCACGTTCGCACGACTACTCCTTGCGGCCCCACGGAGCACAGTACCTGGCGTGCTGCCATTGCAGTCGAGAATATACTGCAGACATCCCTGCTGCGGTGGAAGACACGGAGCTCCGCTTGCCTAAGAAGGAGACAACATAAAATAAAAAATGACAAGCTCGACAGGGGAGACGCATACACGCGGCGAAGCCGTGTGTGGATTTGGTGAAGTGATTGTGCCTGCTTTTGAAAAAAAAAATGCACCGTGTGATCCACGCAGAGCTGGACTTGGATCAGATTCTTAAGACGTGGTTGACAAATATTCATGTACGCTCCGTGCATACAAATTGTATTTTTAATATATTTTTGTTCACGTGGTCTTGTCAAAAACTAAGAACCCAATTTTTAGATCCCAACAGAAGAGCATGTTTATAGCAGGGATATATTTTATTATTCATAACCTACACAGAGCAATTTAGACTTATAAAGAGCATCCACGTGTAATTGCATCTCAAGAGATTGTACGAGTGAGAGGAAATTTAATGATCGGAATTTCCTCAAGATTTACATTTTCAGAGGGCAGAATGGGAAATGCCATGCGGGCGTATCTCAAGGTGCAGTCTTGAGAGAGACGAGATGATAGCAACGATAGCATTGAGAATAAACGCACTTCGTGGGGAGAACGTCAGTCGTCAAAAGGAAAAGAGGTGGGAATTTGAGGCTGGACTTCAACGAGGGCAAGACAATCGTCAGTGTGGACAGCCAGAGGGAGGACATCACGACTACAGTCTTGTATTGAAGGCTGGGAACTCCATACGCCACGGGTGAGGCCAGGGGCCTTTTAGGTCAAGGCCACAAGGCCAATCATGGCCTGAACCTCGAGGCTTGCTTGATCAGCCAGCCTTGATTGAACAAAGTTCGTGTTGAAGTATGAAAACTTCCAAAACACCTTGAAGCATTATCCTCCTGTCGATTAAATGTCGGGTGAACTTCTTTTTGCTGTCCAGAAAGAAAAAAATCGCAATCGGTCAATATTTAGACATTTTAAGAAAGTTATAATTGTGAAAAGTTTCATGACGGGGGAAAGGGGGTGATTTTGAAAACACGACCCAAGTCCTTCAAGTCCTCGGACACCCAAAGGTCAAGATCGAGACGTGAGAAAACGTCCTCCGGCATCGAGACCCAGCAGTAGACTCCCTTGGCCTGACCGCGCGGCACAATCGAAACGGAGGCCAACAAACAGCAGCGGCCGCGGACTGAGGACCCTTGCCTGCGCCGCCCTCTGAGCGGCGAGCTCCTCGGCCTTGGGCAGCAGCAGGTCCATGCGAGTGGCCACCAGCTCGGTCACCAGCTGCCGGTCCTCGTCCTGGTGCTCGCCAATCAGCGGCATGGTGCTGTCCATCGCCTAGTGGGAGACACGAGGAGCGTGCAGCGGCAGCAGCGGCCGCGCTAAGAGGCCGTTCATGGGCCAAGGTTGCAAGTCGAAGGATGTCAGACATCCTTTGGATTGCGTCCTTTGGAGGACACGGGAGGGGGGAGGGGGGGGGTTGGCGCGGATATCGTCAACACCATCATCGCCACGAGGGGGCGCCACTGCACAAGGATAGCTGTGACGGGCGATTGGTTGAAAGGTTCTAAAGGGGGCGATGGCTGGGATATTTGAAAGGGGCAAGACTGGGGAGGGGGAAAGGGGGGGGGGGCTCTCCGTTGGAGGCTCTTAGAAGGGGAGCAGTGGGGGGTTGATTAGAAGGAAAGGGACGTGCGGAGATGGGAGAGGTGGGAGAGAGAAGAGGATAAAAGGGAAGGGATCAGGGTGCGGAGGGGAGTGGAAAAGCAAGAGAGCTGTCAGTTTAACACTGGCGAACAAAATCGTACATTATGTAAGGGTTTTTTTTTTAAACGAAGGGAGTTATCTTTGGCTGGTGGTGGACACTGGACGTTGTTGTTGAGGACAATCAACTGTATCCAAGAAGTGCCGCATTTGGAGTCCATACCACGAGGAGTGAAATGGAATCATGAGCCCAGGTGCAAGGGATGAAATGGACTTCCTCGCGGTGCAATTGTGATGTGCTGCCACGGCGGCTTTTTGGCTGCTTGCCGTCAGACAAAGACGGCGGTCACCCCGCATCGCGCACTTTCAGACGCGTTTCTGCGGACGTCTGGAACGTTCTTCCTTCCGATATTAGGAAGCCACTGGCAGCTGTGCACTTTGAAATCATCATCTAGATTGAAAATTAATTTAATTAGAACTGCACACGACTTTGCTTATAACCATATCCTCGGGACTGTAACAAAATACCCTTGTATACGAATTACAATTGTAATGTATATTAAATTACCTGTATAAATAAATTACGTATAGCAGCACATTTCAACTATTACGACTCGTTGGTGGATATTGTAATGTTTCAGAAGGGCTAGAAAGATACAATTTTAGCTGTAAAAATCTGTTGGACGTGAAATTATACCGTTATGAGCTGATAAAAGTTACAGCTAAAATGTTGAAGCTGAACTGGTTACAATCTGTCGCTACCAAGCGGTGTCCGACTGAGGTTTGATGCGATCACTCAAACCCCGAGGCTGCGGCGCCGTGGCTGTTTGCGGCCACGTGGTGGCGCTCCATCCACAGCTCGAGATTTCAAAACATTCCCCCTAAGCCCAGGGGTAAAAAATAAATTTAAATAAACACAGCAATGTTTCAAGAGGCGCAAAGCACGTGAATAAACACATTCCTGCGGAGGGGGCTGGTAGGAACGTTGGGTTGTTCGGTCAATGGCCAGGGTCACACGGCGGCACCACGTGGTGTATTCCGCAAATATGCCCGACTGTAAGGGCGGGCACAAGCCGGCGTGAGTAGGTTAAACGTTGAGTTTTATAAGGGCACCACGGGGTGACCAGCCCCTCCCCACCCAGCCCCACCCCTCCCACCCCCCACTCAGCCCCACCCTCCCCATCCAGCCCCTCCCCACCCTCCCCTCCCCACCCAGCCCCTCCCTACCCTGCCCTCTCCACCCAGCCCCACCCCTCCCACGTGGACAGACATCCACAGACATACACAATTAATCCCCTGCCTCCTGTGAATTAATCCCGGTTGGGCTTCCAGTCCACTACGTTTCCTACCAGTATAATAATAACAACCTTGATTTGAAGCTTTCGTGACTGCAGGAATCCATACTCTCTGGTTATTTCGGTAAAGTCAGAACCAGAGTATGTAATAATAATAATAATGTCATGAGGCAGTCCTTTAACAAGCCGCAGATTGTCAACTCAAGCCCCACTTCTTCTGGGGGGGGGGGGGGTAGTTGAGTCTGTGAAGACACTAGCTTCATAGCTCATCGGATTTCTCCCCCATAAAGATTCCGATTCTGAAGTCGACATATACTACACCATCATATTTGTTGCGACGTTTTGATCCGTCACATATCTTCGAACATCTCAAAGAGAACGACTCGGAGGTGCGCTAGAAACTACAGGCAATCTCCGCGGTCCTCTATATATTAAGGTGTTAGCGGCCGTACTCTTTGGTACTTTCGGTAAAGTCACGTAGGTATAAAATAAAATAAATCACGACGTTTCGGGCGCAACAACACAAGCGTCCGTCATCAGATGGGAAAGCTTTCCCGCGTGAATTTTCCCGCAAGAACCAACGAGTATGGATTCCTGCGAGTCAAGGGGAGCTTCAAATCAAGATTGTTATCGGCCAATTAACGCGTGTTCACATGTGTGAGGGGGGCAACCCCCCCCCCATACCAATCGGGCGAAATAAGTAGAGACGCCGCGTATGTTCCTATTCTGCTTTTTCCTGGCGAGCCAGGGTATAGGCATCACCCCGAAGCCCACGGGAAGGGAGTTTCACAACATTTGCGCAAATCCGCCAACCCTCACAGACGACGCCCACGGCAGCCACCACCAACCGCCTAGCGGGCGAACGAACCCGCTACCTTTGCTGCACGGTTTGAACATTGCGCAATGGGCAGACTCGCTCACAGGCGGACGCACGAAGTTCACGGCCACGTAGGTGCGAAGTGCGTTGCTGTTGGCCGTCATCGGTTCGCTTTGACTGTTGCGCCTCGTGCGTGGATATATTTCTTTGTCCTCTACCCACGCTGGTTTCCTCCCACGTGCAAACAAAAAAAATGCTCAACGGGGGATTGTTCCGCACATCCTAGACAAGACCTCACCCAAAAAAATGTCTCCAGATTCGGGGAGGAATCATTGAACGGACACATTATTCACTTATTATTTACATCTATTTACAATGCCCATTGCTCGACGCGCCACACATAAGTTGTAGCAAAACAATCTTGAGCTCCGAGAGCCTAAAGCAATGGGTAAACAGAAAACTATTTCGTTGTTGCCTGAAGCCTTACGAAGTGGAATAGTGACGCATCTCAGCCGCCAGAGTCCTCCGGTATTGCCACTGAGAAGGTCACGACCCCCGGTTCCCTTCCAGGCCGACGTCTAGGGATGGAGAGCAGTGCCAATCCAGAGGATCTCGGAACGCAAGGTGCCAGGCGGCCTTAAGGGCCGAACTTGGTGTTCTTCATTGCAAGGCCTGGGGGCCACCCCTTGCAGGCGGTGTGGCGGACCTCACACTGATGTCTTATCGGCGAAAGTGGCCACCCCTGTGAAAACTAGTGAAGAACGCTGTCCTAACATATTATATATAGAATACATCAGCCACCGGCGGGCAATGTAGCTCATGGGGAACCTGTGCAATTCAATCCTGGCGATCGTTAGCCACGAGCAAGGGGAGCTGCCTAAATAGAATCCAATGTGCGCATCATGAATTAGACCTAACGACAATCCTGGGTAGATCATAAAAGTAGTGGTAATTATTTATCGCTGCAGGAAAGCCTCCTCCATGAGTCTCGAGACTCCTTCAGGAGCAGCCTGCTCTGGGATATCTGTCCCGCATCCTTTAGAGGATACTGAAGTCCTTGGGAGATCAATGCAATGCCATCTCCTAAATGTGAAACTGCGGCACAGTCCACCAACAATTGCCTCCAAGTGCTGGATCTCAGCTGCGAGCCACTGTGCCTGGCTAATAGAGTTATTTCACAGCCTTTTGTCAATCCACTGCTGGATAAAGCCCCCCCCCCCCCACCCCATGATATGTCATTCATAACACCGGTCAGTGGGGAGGTGTGGGGAGTGAAAGGAGCGAGGGGGGACAGGAGCGAGGGGGGACAGGACCGGTTCAGATACCACATCGATTGTTGTCGTGAGGTGAAGTATGGTCACGTAACCCACATGCTCCACACAGACCCCCCACCCGCGTGTGCTCGTTCTTGCGTACACTCCAATCCAAATTCCAATCACATTCACTTCCTCCGCAGGTGAAGAGGACATTCAGGGTTACAATCTCCTCTAAGGTTTTTTTTGTTTTTAAATCTTCCTCCTCCTCTGACGACCACCACCATAAACCATCATCACGTGAACTCCTGTCATCCTCGCAAAAGCGGATTTTGGCTTGGCCAATGAACAAAGGCGGTCATCGCATCGCGCGCTTTCATATTCGCTTCCGCGGCCGTCTGGAATGCTATTTCTTCCGACATTACGAAGCTGCTGGAGCTACGCACTTTTAAATCCAGATCGAAAACTAATTTAATTAGAATTGCTTTTTTGTGTTTTAGTGTGTTGTCCTTCCGCCGCATCTCCGATTCGCACGGTTGGCTACGTATGGTGCCAAAGAAGTTCAACATACGTACAGATACATACCACCGCCACCCCCACCATTACCCATTTTATTTTATCTGGAGCGGCTTAGTGGAAAAAATTGTATCCGAATGTCAATTCCAGACACATGAGCTACCCCGTGGTTGTGAGACCCAGGGGAAGAACAGGGAGGGGAGGTTTGAAGTGGAGTGAGCCAGCAGCATGGCCAGAAAGTATTGCGTAGTCTTAGTAACTTTTTGTGTTCCTTCGCAAATTCACAAGTTGGATGCCATCCAGCCTTAATGGGCAAAATAAGGGGCCCGGTTATACTGGAACAGAATGGATGACTAATGGACAGCAAAATGACGGAAATGTTTAATTGCCCCACCATCTTCTGCACCGACTCATACCCTGCTTTAGCGTGGGCGAGTCACGCTGTAAAATGGTTTTAACCTCTTGGGTCTGCAAGCTTGAAAACTTGAGTTAAAGGAGTTCACCACTTTGAGCCCGGCAATTTCGGTCAAACGGCTCCGGAGCTTTCCGCCGCGAGCCCGCAGCTCAAATCACGCACCTCGTCCTGTTCACATCCACGTCCATGCTCCCGGTATCGCCCACCTGCACCCGTTCAGCCGTGGTGACGTACGGTCAGATAAATGACCCCTACGACCCGCGCGGTTACGGGCAGAGGCCTTCGTCCGGCAGTGCACTGACAAGGCACTGTGCGTGTGCATATATATATTCACATTC